AAAGCTTTGTTCGTCAGGTAGGGCTGGGCTTTTCATTGACCATGGGTTGGAATAGTTCTGTGGGCATAGTGTGTCTTCGAAGCCACTATGTTTTCTGCACTTGTGACTAGAGAGCACCTTGATAGCTCAGTTGGTAGAGCAGTGGACTGTGAGATGCTCCTTGTGTGAAACGCTGTGATCCTAAGGTCGCTGGTTCAACTCCAGCCGGAAGCACCTCCTTGTCATTGGAAATGCCCCCAAGCCTTGTCTTTATCTGTCAACTCCTCCAAAATGTAAAAACACAAACAAGATAACTCTTTCTTAAATTTTCAACCATCAATTTTTTATTCACCCAGCCTAAAAGTCCTGATTATCAGTTCTGGGTCCCTGGCAATGACTGTTGGGTACAAACTGCAAAGCTTTGTTCGTCAGGTAGGGCTGGGCTTTTCATTGACCATGGGTTGGAATAGTTCTGTGGGCATAGTGTGTCTTCGAAGCCACTATGTTTTCTGCACTTGTGACTAGAGAGCACCTTGATAGCTCAGTTGGTAGAGCGGTGGACTGTAAGATGCTCCTTGTGTGAAACGCTGTGATCCTAAGGTCGCTGGTTCAACTCCAGCCGGAAGCACCTCCTTGTCATTAGAAATACCCCCTAGCTTTGTCTTTATCTGTCAACTCCTCCAAAATGTAAAAACACAAACAAGATAACTCTTTCTTAAATTTTCAACCATCAATTTTTTATTCACCCAGCCTAAAAGTCCTGATTATCAGTTCTGGGTCCCTGGCAATGACTGTTGGGTACAAACTGCAAAGCTTTGTTCGTCAGGTAGGGCTGGGCTTTTCATTGACCATGGGTTGGAATAGTTCTGTGGGCATAGTTTGTATTCGAAGCCACTATGTTTTCTGCACTTGTGACTAGAGAGCACCTTGATAGCTCAGTTGGTAGAGCAGTGGACTGTGAGATGCTCCTTGTGTGAAACGCTGTGATCCTAAGGTCGCTGGTTCAACTCCAGCCGGAAGCACCTCCTTGTCATTGGAAATACCCCCAAGCCTTGTCTTTATCTGTCAACTCCTCCAAAATGTAAAAACACAAACAAGATAACTCTTTCTTAAATTTTCAACCATCAATTTTTTATTCACCCAGCCTAAAAGTCCTGATTATCAGTTCTGGGTCCCTGGCAATGACTGTTGGGTACAAACTGCAAAGCTTTGTTCGTCAGGTAGGGCTGGGCTTTTCATTGACCATGGGTTGGAATAGTTCTGTGGGCATAGTGTGTCTTCGAAGCCACTATGTTTTCTGCACTTGTGACTAGAGAGCACCTTGATAGCTCAGTTGGTAGAGCGGTGGACTGTAAGATGCTCCTTGTGTGAAACGCTGTGATCCTAAGGTCGCTGGTTCAACTCCAGCCGGAAGCACCTCCTTGTCATTGGAAATACCCCCAAGCCTTGTCTTTATCTGTCAACTCCTCCAAAATGTAAAAACACAAACAAGATAACTCTTTCTTAAATTTTCAACCATCAATTTTTTATTTACCCAGCCTAAAAGTCCTGATTATCAGTTCTGGGTCCCTGGCAATGACTGTTGGGTACAAACTGCAAAGCTTTGTTCGTCAGGTAGGGCTGGGCTTTTCATTGACCATGGGTTGGAATAGTTCTGTGGGCATAGTGTGTCTTCGAAGCCACAATGTTTTCTGCACTTGTGACTAGAGAGCACCTTGATAGCTCAGTTGGTAGAGCGGTGGACTGTAAGATGCTCCTTGTGTGAAACGCTGTGATCCTAAGGTCGCTGGTTCAACTCCAGCCGTAAGCACCTCCTTGTCATTGGAAATACCCCCAAGCCTTGTCTTTATCTGTCAGCTCCTCCAAAATGTAAAAACACAAACAAGATAACTCTTTCTTAAATTTTCAACCATCAATTTTTTATTCACCCAGCCTAAAAGTCCTGATTATCAGTTCTGGGTCCCTGGCAATGACTGTTGGGTACAAACTGCAAAGCTTTGTTCGTCAGGTAGGGCTGGGCTTTTCATTGACCATGGGTTGGAATAGTTCTGTGGGCATAGTGTGTCTTCGAAGCCACTATGTTTTCTGCACTTGTGACTAGAGAGCACCTTGATAGCTCAGTTGGTAGAGCGGTCGACTGTAAGATGCTCCTTGTGTGAAACGCTGTGATCCTAAGGTCGCTGGTTCAACTCCAGCCGGAAGCACCTCCTTGTCATTGGAAATACCCCCAAGCCTTGTCTTTATCTGTCAACTCCTCCAAAATGTAAAAACACAAACAAGATAACTCTTTCTTAAATTTTCAACCATCAATTTTTTATTCACCCAGCCTAAAAGTCCTGATTATCAGTTCTGGGTCCCTGGCAATGACTGTTGGGTACAAACTGCAAAGCTTTGTTCGTCAGGTAGGGCTGGGCTTTTCATTGACCATGGGTTGGAATAGTTCTGTGGGCATAGTGTGTCTTCGAAGCCACTATGTTTTCTGCACTTGTGACTAGAGAGCACCTTGATAGCTCAGTTGGTAGAGCGGTGGACTGTAAGATGCTCCTTGTGTGAAACGCTGTGATCCTAAGGTCGCTGGTTCAACTCCAGCCGGAAGCACCTCCTTGTCATTGGAAATACCCCCAAGCCTTGTCTTTATCTCTCAACTCCTCCAAAATGTAAAAACACAAACAAGATAACTCTTTCTTAAATTTTCAACCATCAATTTTTTATTCACCCAGCCTAAAAGTCCTGATTATCAGTTCTGGGTCCCTGGCAATGACTGTTGGGTACAAACTGCAAAGCTTTGTTCGTCAGGTAGGGCTGGGCTTTTCATTGACCATGGGTTGGAATAGTTCTGTGGGCATAGTGTGTCTTCGAAGCCACTATGTTTTCTGCACTTGTGACTAGAGAGCACCTTGATAGCTCAGTTGGTAGAGCGGTGGACTGTAAGATGCTCCTTGTGTGAAACGCTGTGATCCTAAGGTCGCTGGTTCAACTCCAGCCGGAAGCACCTCCTTGTCATTGGAAATACCCCCAAGCCTTGTCTTTATCTGTCAACTCCTCCAAAATGTAAAAACACAAACAAGATAACTCTTTCTTAAATTTTCAACCATCAATTTTTTATTCACCCAGCCTAAAAGTCCTGATTATCAGTTCTGGGTCCCTGGCAATGACTGTTGGGTACAAACTGCAAAGCTTTGTTCGTCAGGTAGGGCTGGGCTTTTCATTGACCATGGGTTGGAATAGTTCTGTGGGCATAGTGTGTCTTCGAAGCCACTATGTTTTCTGCACTTGTGACTAGAGAGCACCTTGATAGCTCAGTTGGTAGAGCGGTGGACTGTAAGATGCTCCTTGTGTGAAACGCTGTGATCCTAAGGTCGCTGGTTCAACTCCAGCCGGAAGCACCTCCTTGTCATTGGAAATACCCCCAAGCCTTGTCTTTATCTGTCAACTCCTCCAAAATGTAAAAACACAAACAAGATAACTCTTTCTTAAATTTTCAACCATCAATTTTTTATTCACCCAGCCTAAAAGTCCTGATTATCAGTTCTGGGTCCCTGGCAATGACTGTTGGGTACAAACTGCAAAGCTTTGTTCGTCAGGTAGGGCTGGGCTTTTCATTGACCATGGGTTGGAATAGTTCTGTGGGCATAGTGTGTCTTCGAAGCCACTATGTTTTCTGCACTTGTGACTAGAGAGCACCTTGATAGCTCAGTTGGTAGAGCGGTGGACTGTAAGATGCTCCTTGTGTGAAACGCTGTGATCCTAAGGTCGCTGGTTCAACTCCAGCCGGAAGCACCTCCTTGTCATTGGAAATACCCCCAAGCCTTGTCTTTATCTGTCAACTCCTCCAAAATGTAAAAACACAAACAAGATAACTCTTTCTTAAATTTTCAACCATCAATTTTTTATTCACCCAGCCTAAAAGTCCTGATTATCAGTTCTGGGTCCCTGGCAATGACTGTTGGGTACAAACTGCAAAGCTTTGTTCGTCAGGTAGGGCTGGGCTTTTCATTGCCCATGGGTTGGAATAGTTCTGTGGGCATAGTGTGTCTTCGAAGCCACTATGTTTTCTGCACTTGTGACTAGAGAGCACCTTGATAGCTCAGTTGGTAGAGCGGTGGACTGTAAGATGCTCCTTGTGTGAAACGCTGTGATCCTAAGGTCGCTGGTTCAACTCCAGCCGGAAGCACCTCCTTGTCATTGGAAATACCCCCAAGCCTTGTCTTTATCTGTCAACTCCTCCAAAATGTAAAAACACAAACAAGATAACTCTTTCTTAAATTTTCAACCATCAATTTTTTATTCACCCAGCCTAAAAGTCCTGATTATCAGTTCTGGGTCCCTGGCAATGACTGTTGGGTACAAACTGCAAAGCTTTGTTCGTCAGGTAGGGCTGGGCTTTTCATTGACCATGGGTTGGAATAGTTCTGTGGGCATAGTGTGTCTTCGAAGCCACTATGTTTTCTGCACTTGTGACTAGAGAGCACCTTGATAGCTCAGTTGGTAGAGCGGTGGACTGTAAGATGCTCCTTGTGTGAAACGCTGTGATCCTAAGGTCGCTGGTTCAACTCCAGCCGGAAGCACCTCCAGCCGGAAGCACCTCCTTGTCATTGGAAATACCCCCAAGCCTTGTCTTTATCTGTCAACTCCTCCAAAATGTAAAAACACAAACAAGATAACTCTTTCTTAAATTTTCAACCATCAATTTTTTATTCACCCAGCCTAAAAGTCCTGATTATCAGTTCTGGGTCCCTGGCAATGACTGTTGGGTACAAACTGCAAAGCTTTGTTCGTCAGGTAGGGCTGGGCTTTTCATTGACCATGGGTTGGAATAGTTCTGTGGGCATAGTGTGTCTTCGAAGCCACTATGTTTTCTGCACTTGTGACTAGAGAGCACCTTGATAGCTCAGTTGGTAGAGCGGTGGACTGTAAGATGCTCCTTGTGTGAAACGCTGTGATCCTAAGGTCGCTGGTTCAACTCCAGCCGGAAGCACCTCCTTGTCATTGGAAATACCCCCAAGCCTTGTCTTTATCTGTCAACTCCTCCAAAATGTAAAAACACAAACAAGATAACTCTTTCTTAAATTTTCAACCATCAATTTTTTATTCACCCAGCCTAAAAGTCCTGATTATAAGTTCTGGGTACCTGGCAATGACTGTTGGGTACAAACTGCAAAGCTTTGTTCGTCAGGTAGGGCTGGGCTTTTCATTGACCATGGGTTGGAATAGTTCTGTGGGCATAGTGTGTCTTCGAAGCCACTATGTTTTCTGCACTTGTGACTAGAGAGCACCTTGATAGCTCAGTTGGTAGAGCGGTGGACTGTAAGATGCTCCTTGTGTGAAACGCTGTGATCCTAAGGTCGCTGGTTCAACTCCAGCCGGAAGCACCTCCTTGTCATTGGAAATACCCCCAAGCCTTGTCTTTATCTGTCAACTCCTCCAAAATGTAAAAACACAAACAAGATAACTCTTTCTTAAATTTTCAACCATCAATTTTTTATTCACCCAGCCTAAAAGTCCTGATTATCAGTTCTGGGTCCCTGGCAATGACTGTTGGGTACAAACTGCAAAGCTTTGTTCGTCAGGTAGGGCTGGGCTTTTCATTGACCATGGGTTGGAATAGTTCTGTGGGCATAGTGTGTCTTCGAAGCCACTATGTTTTCTGCACTTGTGACTAGAGAGCACCTTGATAGCTCAGTTGGTAGAGCGGTGGACTGTAAGATGCTCCTTGTGTGAAACGCTGTGATCCTAAGGTCGCTGGTTCAACTCCAGCCGGAAGCACCTCCTTGTCATTGGAAATACCCCCAAGCCTTGTCTTTATCTGTCAACTCCTCCAAAATGTAAAAACACAAACAAGATAACTCTTTCTTAAATTTTCAACCATCAATTTTTTATTCACCCAGCCTAAAAGTCCTGATTATCAGTTCTGGGTCCCTGGCAATGACTGTTGGGTACAAACTGCAAAGCTTTGTTCGTCAGGTAGGGCTGGGCTTTTCATTGACCATGGGTTGGAATAGTTCTGTGGGCATAGTGTGTCTTCGAAGCCACTATGTTTTCTGCACTTGTGACTAGAGAGCACCTTGATAGCTCAGTTGGTAGAGCGGTGGACTGTAAGATGCTCCTTGTGTGAAACGCTGTGATCCTAAGGTCGCTGGTTCAACTCCAGCCGGAAGCACCTCCTTGTCATTGGAAATACCCCCAAGCCTTGTCTTTATCTGTCAACTCCTCCAAAATGTAAAAACACAAACAAGATAACTCTTTCTTAAATTTTCAACCATCAATTTTTTATTCACCCAGCCTAAAAGTCCTGATTATCAGTTCTGGGTCCCTGGCAATGACTGTTGGGTACAAACTGCAAAGCTTTGTTCGTCAGGTAGGGCTGGGCTTTTCATTGACCATGGGTTGGAATAGTTCTGTGGGCATAGTGTGTCTTCGAAGCCACTATGTTTTCTGCACTTGTGACTAGAGAGCACCTTGATAGCTCAGTTGGTAGAGCGGTGGACTGTAAGATGCTCCTTGTGTGAAACGCTATGATCCTAAGGTCGCTGGTTCAACTCCAGCCGGAAGCACCTCCTTGTCATTGGAAATACCCCCAAGCCTTTTCTTTATCTGTCAACTCCTCCAAAATGTAAAAACACAAACAAGATAACTCTTTCTTAAATTTTCAACCATCAATTTTTTATTCACCCAGCCTAAAAGTCCTGATTATCAGTTCTGGGTCCCTGGCAATGACTGTTGGGTACAAACTGCAAAGCTTTGTCCGTCAGGTAGGGCTGGGCTTTTCATTGACCATGGGTTGGAATAGTTCTGTGGGCATAGTGTGTCTTCGAAGCCACTATGTTTTCTGCACGTGTGACTAGAGAGCACCTTGATAGCTCAGTTGGTAGAGCGGTGGACTGTAAGATGCTCCTTGTGTGAAACGCTGTGATCCTAAGGTCGCTGGTTCAACTCCAGCCGGAAGCACCTCCTTGTCATTGGAAATACCCCCAAGCCTTGTCTTTATCTGTCAACTCCTCCAAAATGTAAAAACACAAACAAGATAACTCTTTCTTAAATTTTCAACCATCAATTTTTTATTCACCCAGCCTAAAAGTCCTGATTATCAGTTCTGGGTCCCTGGCAATGACTGTTGGGTACAAACTGCAAAGCTTTGTTCGTCAGGTAGGGCTGGGCTTTTCATTGACCATGGGTTGGAATAGTTCTGTGGGCATAGTGTGTCTTCGAAGCCACTATGTTTTCTGCACTTGTGACTAGAGAGCACCTTGATAGCTCAGTTGGTAGAGCGGTGGACTGTAAGATGCTCCTTGTGTGAAACGCTGTGATCCTAAGGTCGCTGGTTCAACTCCAGCCGGAAGCACCTCCTTGTCATTGGAAATACCCCCAAGCCTTGTCTTTATCTGTCAACTCCTCCAAAATGTAAAAACACAAACAAGATAACTCTTTCTTAAATTTTCAACCATCAATTTTTTATTCACCCAGCCTAAAAGTCCTGATTATCAGTTCTGGGTCCCTGGCAATGACTGTTGGGTACAAACTGCAAAGCTTTGTTCGTCAGGTAGGGCTGGGCTTTTCATTGACCATGGGTTGGAATAGTTCTGTGGGCATAGTGTGTCTTCGAAGCCACTATGTTTTCTGCACTTGTGACTATAGAGCACCTTGATAGCTCAGTTGGTAGAGCGGTGGACTGTAAGATGCTCCTTGTGTGAAACGCTGTGATCCTAATGTCGCTGGTTCAACTCCAGCCGGAAGCACCTCCTTGTCATTGTAAATACCCCCAAGCCTTGTCTTTATCTGTCAACTCCTCCAAAATGTAAAAACACAAACAAGATAACTCTTTCTTAAATTTTCAACCATCAATTTTTTATTCACCCAGCCTAAAAGTCCTGATTATCAGTTCTGGGTCCCTGGCAATGACTGATGGGTACAAACTGCAAAGCTTTGTTCGTCAGGTAGGGCTGGGCTTTTCATTGACCATGGGTTGGAATAGTTCTGTGGGCATAGTGTGTCTTCGAAGCCACTATGTTTTCTGCACTTGTGACTAGAGAGCACCTTGATAGCTCAGTTGGTAGAGCAGTGGACTGTAAGATGCTCCTTGTGTGAAACGCTGTGATCCTAAGGTCGCTGGTTCAACTCCAGCCGGAAGCACCTCCTTGTCATTGGAAATACCCCCAAGCCTTGTCTTTATCTGTCAACTCCTCCAAAATGTAAAAACACAAACAAGATAACTCTTTCTTAAATTTTCAACCATCAATTTTTTATTCACCCAGCCTAAAAGTCCTGATTATCAGTTCTGGGTCCCTGGCAATGACTGTTGGGTACAAACTGCAAAGCTTTGTTCGTCAGGTAGGGCTGGGCTTTTCATTGACCATGGGTTGGAATAGTTCTGTGGGCATAGTGTGTCTTCGAAGCCACTATGTTTTCTGCACTTGTGACTAGAGAGCACCTTGATAACTCAGTTGGTAGAGCGGTGGACTGTAAGATGCTCCTTGTGTGAAACGCTGTGATCCTAAGGTCGCTGGTTCAACTCCAGCCGAAGTACCTCCTCGTCATTGGAAATACCCCAAAGCCTTGTCTTTATCTGTCAACTCCTCCAAAATGTAAAAACACAAACAAGATAACTCTTTCTTAAATTTTCAACCATCAATTTTTTATTCACCCAGCCTAAAAGTCCTGATGATCAGTTCTGGGTCCCTGGCAATGACTGTTGGGTACAAACTGCAAAGCTTTGTTCTGCAGGTAGGGCTGGGCTTTTCATTGACCATGGGTTGGAATAGTTCTGTGGGCATAGTGTGTCTTCGAAGCCACTATGTTTTCTGCACTTGTGACTAGAGAGCACCTTGATAGCTCAGTTGGTAGAGCGGTGGACTGTAAGATGCTCCTTGTGTGAAACGCTGTGATCCTAAGGTCGCTGGTTCAACTCCAGCCGGAAGCACCTCCTTGTCATTGGAAATACCCCCAAGCCATGTCTTTATCTGTCAACTCCTCCAAAATGTAAAAACACACCAAAAAAAAATCTTTCTTAAATTTTCAACCATCAATTTTTTATTCACCCAGCCTAAAAGTCCTGATTATCAGTTCTGGGTCCCTGGCAATGACTGTTGGGTACAAACTGCAAAGCTTTGTTCGTCAGGTAGGGCTGGGCTTTTCATTGACCATGGGTTGGAATAGTTCTGTGGGCATAGTGTGTCTTCGAAGCCACTATGTTTTCTGCACTTGTGACTAGAGAGCACCTTGATAGCTCAGTTGGTAGAGCGGTGGACTGTAAGATGCTCCTTGTGTGAAACGCTGTGATCCTAAGGTCGCTGGTTCAACTCCAGCCGGAAGCACCTCCTTGTCATTGGAAATACCCCCAAGCCTTGTCTTTATCTGTCAACTCCTCCAAAATGTAAAAACACAAACAAGATAACTCTTTCTTAAATTTTCAACCATCAATTTTTTATTCACCCAGCCTAAAAGTCCTGATTATCAGTTCTGGGTCCCTGGCAATGACTGATGGGTACAAACTGCAAAGCTTTGTTCGTCAGGTAGGGCTGGGCTTTTCATTGACCATGGGTTGGAATAGTTCTGTGGGCAAAGTGTGTCTTCGAAGCCACTATGTTTTCTGCACTTGTGACTAGAGAGCACCTTGATAGCTCAGTTGGTAGAGCAGTGGACTGTAAGATGCTCCTTGTGTGAAACGCTGTGATCCTAAGGTCGCTGGTTCAACTCCAGCCGGAAGCACCTCCTTGTCATTGGAAATACCCCCAAGCCTTGTCTTTATCTGTCAACTCCTCCAAAATGTAAAAACACAAACAAGATAACTCTTTCTTAAATTTTCAACCATCAATTTTTTATTCACCCAGCCTTAAAGTCCTGATTATCAGTTCTGGGTCCCTGGCAATGACTGTTGGGTACAAACTGCAAAGCTTTGTTCGTCAGGTAGGGCTGGGCTTTTCATTGACCATGGGTTGGAATAGTTCTGTGGGCATAGTGTGTCTTCGAAGCCACTATGTTTTCTGCACTTGTGACTAGAGAGCACCTTGATAGCTCAGTTGGTAGAGCGGTGGACTGTAAGATGCTCCTTGTGTGAAACGCTGTGATCCTAAGGTCGCTGGTTCAACTCCAGCCGAAGTACCTCCTCGTCATTGGAAATACCCCAAAGCCTTGTCTTTATCTGTCAACTCCTCCAAAATGTAAAAACACAAACAAGATAACTCTTTCTTAAATTTTCAACCATCAATTTTTTATTCACCCAGCCTAAAAGTCCTGATGATCAGTTCTGGGTCCCTGGCAATGACTGTTGGGTACAAACTGCAAAGCTTTGTTCTGCAGGTAGGGCTGGGCTTTTCATTGACCATGGGTTGGAATAGTTCTGTGGGCATAGTGTGTCTTCGAAGCCACTATGTTTTCTGCACTTGTGACTAGAGAGCACCTTGATAGCTCAGTTGGTAGAGCGGTGGACTGTAAGATGCTCCTTGTGTGAAACGCTGTGATCCTAAGGTCGCTGGTTCAACTCCAGCCGGAAGCACCTCCTTGTCATTGGAAATACCCCCAAGCCTTGTCTTTATCTGTCAACTCCTCCAAAATGTAAAAACACACACAAAAAAAATCTTTCTTAAATTTTCAACCATCAATTTTTTATTCACCCAGCCTAAAAGTCCTGATTATCAGTTCTGGGTCCCTGGCAATGACTGTAGGGTACACACTGCAAAGCTTTGTTCGTCAGGTAGGGCTGGGCTTTTCATTGACCATGGGTTGGAATAGTTCTGTGGGCATAGTGTGTCTTCGAAGCCACTATGTTTTCTGCACTTGTGACTAGAGAGCACCTTGATAGCTCAGTTGGTAGAGCGGTGGACTGTAAGATGCTCCTTGTGTGAAACGCTGTGATCCTAAGGTCGCTGGTTCAACTCCAGCCGGAAGCACCTCCTTGTCATTGGAAATACCCCCAAGCCTTGTCTTTATCTGTCAACTCCTCCAAAATGTAAAAACACACAAAAAAAAAATCTTTCTTAAATTTTCAACCATCAATTTTTTATTCACCCAGCCTAAAAGTCCTGATTATCAGTTCTGGGTCCCTGGCAATGACTGTTGGGTACACACTGCAAAGCTTTGTTCGTCAGGTAGGGCTGGGCTTTTCATTGACCATGGGTTGGAATAGTTCTGTGGGCATAGTGTGTCTTCGAAGCCACTATGTTTTCTGCACTTGTGACTAGAGAGCAACTTGATAGCTCAGTTGGTAGAGCGGTGGACTGTAAGATGCTCCTTGTGTGAAACGCTGTGATCCTAAGGTCGCTGGTTAAACTCCGGCTGGAAGCACCTCCTTGTCATTGGAAATACCCCCAGGCCTTGTCTTTATCTGTCAACTCCTCCAAAATGTAAAAACACAAACAAGATAACTCTTTCTTAAATTTTCAACCATCAATTTTTTATTCACCCAGCCTAAAAGTCCTGATTATCAGTTCTGGGTCCCTGGCAATGACTGTTGGGTACAAACTGCAAAGCTTTGTTCGTCAGGTAGGGCTGGGCTTTTCATTGACCATGGGTTGGAATAGTTCTGTGGGCATAGTGTGTCTTCGAAGCCACTATGTTTTCTGCACTTGTGACTAGAGAGCACCTTGATAGCTCAGTTGGTAGAGCGGTGGACTGTAAGATGCTCCTTGTGTGAAACGCTGTGATCCTAAGGTCGCTGGTTCAACTCCAGCCGGAAGCACCTCCTTGTCATTGGAAATACCCCCAAGCCTTGTCTTTATCTGTCAACTCCTCCAAAATGTAAAAACACAAACAAGATAACTCTTTCTTAAATTTTCAACCATCAATTTTTTATTCACCCAGCCTAAAAGTCCTGATTATCAGTTCTGGGTCCCTGGCAATGACTGTTGGGTACAAACTGCAAAGCTTTGTTCGTCAGGTAGGGCTGGGCTTTTCATTGACCATGGGTTGGAATAGTTCTGTGGGCATAGTGTGTCTTCGAAGCCACTATGTTTTCTGCACTTGTGACTAGAGAGCACCTTGATAGCTCAGTTGGTAGAGCGGTGGACTGTAAGATGCTCCTTCTGTGAACACCGTGATCCTAAGGTCGCTGGTTCAACTCCAGCCGGAAGCACCTCCTTGTCATTGGAAATACCCCAAAGCCTTGTCTTTATTTGTCAACTCCTCCAAAATGTAAAAACACAAACAAGGTAACTCTTTCTTAAATTTTCAACCATCAATTTTTTATTCACCCAGCCTAAAAGTCCTGATTATCAGTTCTGGGTCCCTGGCAATGACTGTTGGGTACAAACTGCAAAGCTTTGTTCGTCAGGTAGGGCTGGGCTTTTCATTGACCATGGGTTGGAATAGTTCTGTGGGCATAGTGTGTCTTCGAAGCCACTATGTTTTCTGCACTTGCGACTAGAGAGCACCTTGATAGCTCAGTTGGTAGAGCAGTGGACTCTCAGATGCTCCTTGTGTGAAACGCTGTGATCCTAAGGTCGCTGGTTCAACTCCAGCCGGAAGCACCTCCTTGTCATTGGAAATACCCCCAAGCCTTGTCTTTATCTGTCAACTCCTCCAAAATGTAAAAACACAAACAAGTTAACTCTTTCTTAAATTTTCAACCATCAATTTTTTATTCACCCAGCCTAAAAGTCCTGATTATCAGTTCTGGGTCCCTGGCAATGACTGTTGGGTACAAACTGCAAAGCTTTGTTCGTCAGGTAGGGCTGGGCTTTTCATTGACCATGGGTTGGAATAGTTCTGTGGGCATAGTGTGTCTTCGAAGCCACTATGTTTTCTGCACTTGTGACTAGAGAGCACCTTGATAGCTCAGTTGGTAGAGCGGTGGACTGTAAGATGCTCCTTCTGTGAACACCGTGATCCTAAGGTCGCTGGTTCAACTCCAGCCGGAAGCACCTCCTCGTCATTGGAAATACCCCAAAGCCTTGTCTTTATCTGTCAACTCCTCCAAAATGTAAAAACACAAACAAGATAACTCTTTCTTAAATTTTCAACCATCAATTTTTTATTCACCCAGCCTAAAAGTCCTGATGATCAGTTCTGGGTCCCCGGCAATGACTGTTGGGTACAAACTGCAAAGCTTTGTTCTGCAGGTAGGGCTGGGCTTTTCATTGACCATGGGTTGGAATAGTTCTGTGGGCATAGTGTGTCTTCGAAGCCACTATGTTTTCTGCACTTGTGACTAGAGAGCACCTTGATAGCTCAGTTGGTAGAGCGGTGGACTGTAAGATGCTCCTTGTGTGAAACGCTGTGATCCTAAGGTCGCTGGTTCAACTCCAGCCGGAAGCACCTCCTTGTCATTGGAAATACCCCCAAGCCTTGTCTTTATCTGTCAACTCCTCCAAAATGCAAAAACACAAACAAGATAACTCTTTCTTAAATTTTCAACCATCAATTTTTTATTCACCCAGCCTAAAAGTCCTGATTATCAGTTCTGGGTCCCTGGCAATGACTGTTGGGTACAAACTGCAAAGCTTTGTTCTGCAGGTAGGGCTGGGCTTTTCATTGACCATGGGTTGGAATAGTTCTGTGGGCATAGTGTGTCTTCGAAGCCACTATGTTTTCTGCACTTGTGACTAGAGAGCCCCTTGATAGCTCAGTTGGTAGAGCGGTGGACTGTAAGATGCTCCTTGTGTGAAACGCTGTGATCCTAAGGTCGCTGGTTCAACTCCAGCCGGAAGCACCTCCTTGTCATTGGAAATACCCCCAAGCCTTGTCTTTATCTGTCAACTCCTCCAAAATGTAAAAACACAAACAAGATAACTCTTTCTTAAATTTTCAACCATCAATTTTTTATTCACCCAGCCTAAAAGTCCTGATTATCAGTTCTGGGTCCCTGGCAATGACTGTTGGGTACAAACTGCAAAGCTTTGTTCGTCAGGTAGGGCTGGGCTTTTCATTGACCATGGGTTGGAATAGTTCTGTGGGCATAGTGTGTCTTCGAAGCCACTATGTTTTCTGCACTTGTGACTAGAGAGCACCTTGATAGCTCAGTTGGTAGAGCGGTGGACTGTAAGATGCTCCTTGTGTGAAACGCTGTGATCCTAAGGTCGCTGGTTGAACTCCAGCCAGAAGCACCTCCTCGTCATTGGAAATACCCCAAAGCCTTGTCTTTATCTTTCAACTCCTCCAAAATGTAAAAACACAAACAAGATAACTCTTTCTTAAATTTTCAACCATCAATTTTTTATTCACCCAGCCTAAAAGTCCTGGTGATCAGTTCTGGGTCCCTGGCAATGACTGTTGGGTACAAACTGCAAAGCTTTGTTCGTCAGGTAGGGCTGGGCTTTTCATTGACCATGGGTTGGAATAGTTCTGTGGGCATAGTGTGTCTTCGAAGCCACTATGTTTTCTGCACTTGTGACTAGAGAGCACCTTGATAGCTCAGTTGGTAGAGCGGTGGACTGTAAGATGCTCCTTGTGTGAAACGCTGTGATCCTAAGGTCGCTGGTTCAACTCCAGCCGGAAGCACCTCCTTGTCATTGGAAATACCCCCAAGCCTTGTCTTTATCTGTCAACTCCTCCAAAATGTAAAAACACAAAAAAGATAACTCTTTCTTAAATTTTCAACCATCAATTTTTTATTCACCCAGCCTAAAAGTCCTGATTATCAGTTCTGGGTCCCTGGCAATGACTGTTGGGTACAAACTGCAAAGCTTTGTTCGTCAGGTAGGGCTGGGCTTTTCATTGACCATGGGTTGGAATAGTTCTGTGGGCATAGTGTGTCTTCGAAGCCACTATGTTTTCTGCACTTGTGACTAGAGAGCACCTTGATAGCTCAGTTGGTAGAGCGGTGGACTGTAAGATGCTCCTTGTATGAAACGCTGTGATCCTAAGGTCGCTGGTTCAACTCCAGCCGGAAGCACCTCCTTGTCATTGGAAATACCCCCAAGCCTTGTCTTTATCTGTCAACTCCTCCAAAATGTAAAAACACACAAAAAAAAAACTCTTTCTTAAATTTTCAACCATCAATTTTTTATTCACCCAGCCTAAAAGTCCTAGTGATCAGTTCTGGGTCCCTGGCAATGACTGTTGGGTACAAACTGCAAAGCTTTGTTCGTCAGGTAGGGCTGGGCTTTTCATTGACCATGGGTTGGAATAGTTCTGTGGGCATAGTGTGTCTTCGAATCCACTATGTTTTCTGCACTTGTGACCAGAGAGCACCTTGATAGCTCAGTTGGTAGAGCGGTGGACTGTAAGATGCTCCTTGTGTGAAACGCTGTGATCCTAAGGTCGCTGGTTCAACTCCAGCCGGCAGCACCTCCTTGTCATTGGAAATACCCCCAGGCCTTGTCTTTATCTGTCAACTCCTCCAAAATGTAAAAACACAAAAAAAAAATCTTTCTTAAATTTTCAACCATCAATTTTTTATTCACCCACCCTTAAAGTCCTGATGATCAGTTCTGGGTCCCTGGCAATGACTGTTGGGTACAAACTGCAAAGCTTTGTTCGTCAGGTAGGGCTGGGCTTTTCATTGACCATGGGTTGGAATAGTTCTGTGGGCATAGTGTGTCTTCGAAGCCACTATGTTTTCTGCACTTGTGACTAGAGAGCACCTTGATAGCTCAGTTGGTAGAGCGGTGGACTGTAAGATGCTCCTTGTGTGAAACGCTGTGATCCTAAGGTCGCTGGTTCAACTCCAGCCGGAAGCACCTCCTTGTCATTGGAAATACCCCCAAGCCTTGTCTTTATCTGTCAACTCCTCCAAAATGTAAAAACACACAAAAAAAAAAATCTTTCTTAAATTTTCAACCACCAATTTTTTATTCACCCAGCCTAAAAGTCCTGATTATTAGTTCTGGGTCCCTGGCAATGACTGTTGGGTACACACTGCAAAGCTTTGTTCGTCAGGTAGGGCTGGGCTTTTCATTGACCATGGGTTGGAATAGTTCTGTGGGCATAGTGTGTCTTCGAAGCCACTATGTTTTCTGCACTTGTGACTAGAGAGCAACTTGATAGCTCAGTTGGTAGAGCGGTGGACTGTAAGATGCTCCTTGTTTGAAACGCTGTGATCCTAAGGTCGCTGGTTAAACTCCGGCTGGAAGCACCTCCTTGTCATTGGAAATACCCCCAACCCTTGTCTTTATCTGTCAACTCCTCCAAAATGTAAAAACACAAACAAGATAACTCTTTCTTAAATTTTCAACCATCAATTTTTTATTCACCCAGCCTAAAAGTCCTGATTATCAGTTCTGGGTCCCTGGCAATGACTGTTGGGTACAAACTGCAAAGCTTTGTTCGTCAGGTAGGGCTGGGCTTTTCATTGACCATGGGTTGGAATAGTTCTGTGGGCATAGTGTGTCTTCGAAGCCACTATGTTTTCTGCACTTGTGACTAGAGAGCACCTTGATAGCTCAGTTGGTAGAGCGGTGGACTGTAAGATGCTCCTTGTGTGAAACGCTGTGATCCTAAGGTCGCTGGTTCAACTCCAGCCGGAAGCACCTCCTTGTCATTGGAAATACCCGCAAGCCTTGTCTCTATCTGTCAACTCCTCCAAAATGCAAAAACACAAACAAGATAACTCTTTCTTAAATTTTCAACCATCAATTTTTTATTCACCCAGCCTAAAAGTCCTGATTATCAGTTCTGGGTCCCTGGCAATGGCTGTTGGGTACAAACTGCAAAGCTTTGTTCTGCAGGTAGGGCTGGGCTTTTCATTGACCATGGGTTGGAATAGTTCTGTGGGCATAGTGTGTCTTCAAAGCCACTATGTTTTCTGCACTTGTGACTAGAGAGCACCTTGATAGCTCAGTTGGTAGAGCGGTGGACTGTAAGATGCTCCTTCTGTGAACACCTTGATCCTAAGGTCGCTGGTTCAACTCCAGCCGGAAGCACCTCCTTGTCATTGGAAATACCCCCAAGCCTTGTCTTTATTTGTCAACTCCTCCAAAATGTAAAAACACAAACAAGGTAACTCTTTCTTAAATTTTCAACCATCAATTTTTTATTCACCCAGCCTAAAAGTCCTGATTATCAGTTCTGGGTCCCTGGCAATGACTGTTGGGTACAAACTGCAAAGCTTTGTTCGTCAGGTAGGGCTGGGCTTTTCATTGACCATGGGTTGGAATAGTTCTGTGGGCATAGTGTGTCTTCGAAGCCACTATGTTTTCTGCACTTGTGACTAGAGAGCACCTTGATAGCTCAGTTTGTAGAGCAGTGGACTCTAAGATGCTCCTTGTGTGAAACGCTGTGATCCTAACGTCGCTGGTTCAACTCCAGCCGGAAGCACCTCCTTGTCATTGGAAATACCCCCAAGCCTTGTCTTTATCTGTCAACTCCTCCAAAATGTAAAAACACAAACAAGATAACTCTTTCTTAAATTTTCAACCATCAATTTTTTATTCACCCAGCCTAAAAGTCCTGATTATCAGTTCTGAGTCCCTGGCAATGACTGTTGGGTACAAACTGCAAAGCTTTGTTCGTCAGGTAGGGCTGGGCTTTTCATTGACCATGGGTTGGAATAGTTCTGTGGGCATAGTGTGTCTTAGAAGCCACTATGTTTTCTGCACTTGTGACTAGAGAGCACCTTGATAGCTCAGTTGGTAGAGCAGTGGACTGTAAGATGCTGCTTGTGTGAAACGCTGTGATCCTAAGGTCGCTGGTTCAACTCCAGCCGGAAGCACCTCCTTGTCATTGGAAATACCCCCAAGCCTTGTCTTTATCTGTCAACTCCTCCAAAATGTAAAAACACAAACAAGTTAACTCTTTCTTAAATTTTCAACCATCAATTTTTTATTCACCCAGCCTAAAAGTCCTGATTATCAGTTCTGGGTCCCTGGCAATGACTGTTGGGTACAAACTGCAAAGCTTTGTTCGTCAGGTAGGGCTGGGCTTTTCATTGACCATGGGTTGGAATAGTTCTGTGGGCATAGTGTGTCTTCGAAGCCACTATGTTTTCTGCACTTGTGACTAGAGAGCACCTTGATAGCTCAGTTGGTAGAGCGGTGGACTGTAAGATGCTCCTTGTGTGAAACGCTGTGATCCTAAGTTCGCTGGTTCAACTCCAGCCAGAAGAACCTCCTTGTCATTGGAAATACCCCCAAGCCTTGTCTTTATCTGTCAACTCCTCCAAAATGTAAAAACACACACACAAAAAAAATCTTTATTAAATTATCAACCATCAATTTTTTATTCACCCAGCCTAAAAGTCCTGATTATCAGTTCTGGGTCCCTGGCAATGACTGTTGGGTACAAACTGCAAAGCTTTGTTCGTCAGGTAGGGCTGGGCTTTTCATTGACCATGGGTTGGAATAGTTCTGTGGGCATAGTGTGTCTTCGAAGCCACTATGTTTTCTGCACTTGTGACTAGAGAGCACCTTGATAGCTCAGTTGGTAGAGCGGTGGACTGTAAGATGCTTCTTGTGTGAAACGCTGTGATCCTAAGGTCGCTGGTTCAACTCCAGCCGTTAGCACCTCCTTGTCATTCGAAAAACCCGCAAGCCTTGTCTTTATCTGTCAACTCCTCCAAAATGTAAAAACACAAACAAGATAACTCTTTCTTAAATTTTCAACCATCAATTTTTTATTCACCCAGCCTAAAAGTCCTGATTATCAGTTCTGGGTCCCTGGCAATGACTGTTGGGTACAAACTGCAAAGCTTTGTTCGTCAGGTAGGGCTGGGCTTTTCATTGACCATGGGTTGGAATAGTTCTGTGGGCATAGTGTGTCTTCGAAGCCACTATGTTTTCTGCACTTGTGACTAGAGAGCCCCTTGATAGCTCAGTTGGTACAGCCGTGGACTGTAAAATGCTCCTTGTGTGAAACGCTGTGATCCTAAGGTCGCTGGTTCAACTCCAGCCGGAAGCACCTCCTTGTCATTGGAAATACCCGCAAGCCTTGTCTTTATCTGTCAACTCCTCCAAAATGTAAAAACACAAACAAGATAACTCTTTCTTAAATTTTCAACCATCAATTTTTTATTCACCCAGCCTAAAAGTCCTGATTATCAGTTCTGGGTCCCTGGCAATGACTGTTGGGTACAAACTGCAAAGCTTTGTTCGTCAGGTAGGGCTGGGCTTTTCATTGACCATGGGTTGGAATAGTTCTGTGGGCATAGTGTGTCTTCGAAGCCACTATGTTTTCTGCACTTGTGACTAGCGAGCACCTTGATAGCTCAGTTGCATAGAGCGGTGGACTGTAAGATGCTCCTTGTGTGAAACGCTGTGATCCTAAGGTCGCTGGTTCAACTCCAGCCGGAAGCACCTCCTTGTCATTGGAAATACCCGCAAGCCTTGTCTTTATCTGTCAACTCCTCCAAAATGTAAAAACACAAACAAGATAACTCTTTCTTAAATTTTCAACCATCAATTTTTTATTCACCCAGCCTAAAAGTCCTGATGATCAGTTCTGGGTCCCTGGCAATGACTGTTGGGTACAAACTGCAAAGCTTTGTTCGTCAGGTAGGGCTGGGCTTTTCATTGACCATGGGTTGGAATAGTTCTGTGGGCATAGTGTGTCTTCGAAGCCACTATGTTTTCTGCACTTGTGACTAGAGAGCACCTTGATAGCTCAGTTGGTAGAGCGGTGGACTGTAAGATGCTCCTTGTGTGAAACGCTGTGATCCTAAGGTCGCTGGTTCAACTCCAGCCGGAAGCACCTCCTTGTCATTGGAAATACCCGCAAGCCTTGTCTTTATCTGTCAACTCCTCCAAAATGTAAAAACACAAACAAGATAACTCTTTCTTAAATTTTCAACCATCAATTTTTTATTCACCCAGCCTAAAAGTCCTGATTATCAGTTCTGGGTCCCTGGCAATGACTGTTGGGTACAAACTGCAAAGCTTTGTTCGTCAGGTAGGGCTGGGCTTTTCATTGACCATGGGTTGGAATAGTTCTGTGGGCATAGTGTGTCTTCGAAGCCACTATGTTTTCTGCACTTGTGACTAGCGAGCACCTTGATAGCTCAGTTGCATAGAGCGGTGGACTGTAAGATGCTCCTTGTGTGAAACGCTGTGATCCTAAGGTCGCTGGTTCAACTCCAGCCGGAAGCACCTCCTTGTCATTGGAAATACCCGCAAGCCTTGTCTTTATCTGTCAACTCCTCCAAAATGTAAAAACACAAACAAGATAACTCTTTCTTAAATTTTCAACCATCAATTTTTTATTCACCCAGCCTAAAAGTCCTGATTATCAGTTCTGGGTCCCTGGCAATGACTGTTGGGTACAAACTGCAAAGCTTTGTTCGTCAGGTAGGGCTGGGCTTTTCATTGACCATGGGTTGGAATAGTTCTGTGGGCATAGTGTGTCTTCGAAGCCACTATGTTTTCTGCACTTGTGACTAGAGAGCACCTTGATAGCTCAGTTGGTAGAGCGGTGGACTGTAAGATGCTCCTTGTGTGAAACGCTGTGATCCTAAGGTCGCTGGTTCAACTCCAGCCGGAAGCACCTCCTTGTCATTGGAAATACCCCCAAGCCTTGTCTTTATCTGTCAACTCCTCCAAAATGTAAAAACACAAACAAGATAACTCTTTCTTAAATTTTCAACCATCAATTTTTTATTCACCCAGCCTAAAAGTCCTGATTATCAGTTCTGGGTCCCTGGCAATGACTGTTGGGTACAAACTGCAAAGCTTTGTTCGTCAGGTAGGGCTGGGCTTTTCATTGACCATGGGTTGGAATAGTTCTGTGGGCATAGTGTGTCTTCGAAGCCACTATGTTTTCTGCACTTGTGACTAGAGAGCCCCTTGATAGCTCAGTTGGTACAGCCGTGGACTGTAAAATGCTCCTTGTGTGAAACGCTGTGATCCTAAGGTCGCTGGTTCAACTCCAGCCGGAAGCACCTCCTTGTCATTGGAAATACCCGAAAGCCGTGTCTTTATCTGTCAACTCCTCCAAAATGTAAAAACACAAACAAGATAACTCTTTCTTAAATTTTCAACCATCAATTTTTTATTCACCCAGCCTAAAAGTCCTGATTATCAGTTCTGGGTCCCTGGCAATGACTGTTGGGTACAAACTGCAAAGCTTTGTTCGTCAGGTAGGGCTGGGCTTTTCATTGACCATGGGTTGGAATAGTTCTGTGGGCATAGTGTGTCTTCGAAGCCACTATGTTTTCTGCACTTGTGACTAGCGAGCACCTTGATAGCTCAGTTGCATAGAGCGGTGGACTGTAAGATGCTCCTTGTGTGAAACGCTGTGATCCTAAGGTCGCTGGTTCAACTCCAGCCGGAAGCACCTCCTTGTCATTGGAAATACCCGCAAGCCTTGTCTTTATCTGTCAACTCCTCCAAAATGTAAAAACACAAACAAGATAACTCTTTCTTAAATTTTCAACCATCAATTTTTTATTCACCCAGCCTAAAAGTCCTGATTATCAGTTCTGGGTCCCTGGCAATGACTGTTGGGTACAAACTGCAAAGCTTTGTTCGTCAGGTAGGGCTGGGCTTTTCATTGACCATGGGTTGGAATAGTTCTGTGGGCATAGTGTGTCTTCGAAGCCACTATGTTTTCTGCACTTGTGACTAGCGAGCACCTTGATAGCTCAGTTGCATAGAGCGGTGGACTGTAAGATGCTCCTTGTGTGAAACGCTGTGATCCTAAGGTCGCTGGTTCAACTCCAGCCGGAAGCACCTCCTTGTCATTGGAAATACCCGCAAGCCTTGTCTTTATCTGTCAACTCCTCCAAAATGTAAAAACACAAACAAGATAACTCTTTCTTAAATTTTCAACCATCAATTTTTTATTCACCCAGCCTAAAAGTCCTGATTATCAGTTCTGGGTCCCTGGCAATGACTGTTGGGTACAAACTGCAAAGCTTTGTTCGTCAGGTAGGGCTGGGCTTTTCATTGACCATGGGTTGGAATAGTTCTGTGGGCATAGTGTGTCTTCGAAGCCACTATGTTTTCTGCACTTGTGACTAGAGAGCACCTTGATAGCTCAGTTGGTAGAGCGGTGGACTGTAAGATGCTCCTTGTGTGAAACGCTGTGATCCTAAGGTCGCTGGTTCAACCCCAGCCGGAAGCACCTCCTTGTCATTGGAAATACCCCCAAGCCTTGTCTTTATCTGTCAACTCCTCCAAAATGTAAAAACACAAACAAGATAACTCTTTCTTAAATTTTCAACCATCAATTTTTTATTCACCCAGCCTAAAAGTCCTGATTATCAGTTCTGGGTCCCTGGCAATGACTGTTGGGTACAAACTGCAAAGCTTTGTTCGTCAGGTAGGGCTGGGCTTTTCATTGACCATGGGTTGGAATAGTTCTGTGGGCATAGTGTGTCTTCGAAGCCACTATGTTTTCTGCACTTGTGACTAGCGAGCACCTTGATAGCTCAGTTGCATAGAGCGGTGGACTGTAAGATGCTCCTTGTGTGAAACGCTGTGATCCTAAGGTCGCTGGTTCAACTCCAGCCGGAAGCACCTCCTTGTCATTGGAAATACCCGCAAGCCTTGTCTTTATCTGTCAACTCCTCCAAAATGTAAAAACACAAACAAGATAACTCTTTCTTAAATTTTCAACCATCAATTTTTTATTCACCCAGCCTAAAAGTCCTGATTATCAGTTCTGGGTCCCTGGCAATGACTGTTGGGTACAAACTGCAAAGCTTTGTTCGTCAGGTAGGGCTGGGCTTTTCATTGACCATGGGTTGGAATAGTTCTGTGGGCATAGTGTGTCTTCGAAGCCACTATGTTTTCTGCACTTGTGACTAGAGAGCACCTTGATAGCTCAGTTGGTAGAGCGGTGGACTGTAAGATGCTCCTTGTGTGAAACGCTGTGATCCTAAGGTCGCTGGTTCAACTCCAGCCGGAAGCACCTCCTTGTCATTGGAAATACCCCCAAGCCTTGTCTTTATCTGTCAACTCCTCCAAAATGTAAAAACACAACCAAGATAACTCTTTCTTAAATTTTCAACCATCAATTTTTTATTCACCCAGCCTAAAAGTCCTGATTATCAGTTCTGGGTCCCTGGCAATGACTGTTGGGTACAAACTGCAAAGCTTTGTTCGTCAGGTAGGGCTGGGCTTTTCATTGACCATGGGTTGGAATAGTTCTGTGGGCATAGTGTGTCTTCGAAGCCACTATGTTTTCTGCACTTGTGACTAGAGAGCACCTTGATAGCTCAGTTGGTAGAGCGGTGGACTGTAAGATGCTCCTTGTGTGAAACGCTGTGATCCTAAGGTCGCTGGTTCAACTCCAGCCGGAAGCACCTCCTTGTCATTGGAAATACCCGCAAGCCTTGTCTTTATCTGTCAACTCCTCCAAAATGCAAAAACACAAACAAGATAACTCTTTCTTAAATTTTCAACCATCAATTTTTTATTCACCCAGCCTAAAAGTCCTGATTATCAGTTCTGGGTCCCTGGCAATGACTGTTGGGTACAAACTGCAAAGCTTTGTTCTGCAGGTAGGGCTGGGCTTTTCATTGACCATGGGTTGGAATAGTTCTGTGGGCATAGTGTGTCTTCGAAGCCACTATGTTTTCTGCACTTGTGACTAGAGAGCCCCTTGATAGCTCAGTTGGTAGAGCCGTGGACTGTAAAATGCTCCTTGTGTGAAACGCTGTGATCCTAAGGTCGCTGGTTCAACTCCAGCCGGAAGCACCTCCTTGTCATTGGAAATACCCCCAAGCCTTGTCTTTATCTGTCAACTCGTCCAAAATGTAAAAACACAAACAAGATAACTCTTTCTTAAATTTTCAACCATCAATTTTTTATTCACCCAGCCTAAAAGTCCTGATTATCAGTTCTGGGTCCCTGGCAATGACTGTTGGGTACAAACTGCAAAGCTTTGTTCGTCAGGTAGGGCTGGGCTTTTCATTGACCATGGGTTGGAATAGTTCTGTGGGCATAGTGTGTCTTCGAAGCCACTATGTTTTCTGCACTTGTGACTAGCGAGCACCTTGATAGCTCAGTTGGATAGAGCGGTCGACTGTAAGATGCTCCTTGTGTGAAACGCTGTGATCCTAAGGTCGCTGGTTCAACTCCAGCCGGAAGCACCTCCTTGTCATTGGAAATACCCGCAAGCCTTGTCTTTATCTGTCAACTCCTCCAAAATGTAAAAACACAAACAAGATAACTCTTTCTTAAATTTTCAACCATCAATTTTTTATTCACCCAGCCTAAAAGTCCTGATTATCAGTTCTGGGTCCCTGGCAATGACTGTTGGGTACAAACTGCAAAGCTTTGTTCGTCAGGTAGGGCTGGGCTTTTCATTGACCATGGGTTGGAATAGTTCTGTGGGCATAGTGTGTCTTCGAAGCCACTATGTTTTCTGCACTTGTGAATAGAGAGCCCCTTGATAGCTCAGTTGGTAGAGCCGTGGACTGTAAAATGCTCCTTGTGTGAAACGCTGTGATCCTAAGGTCGCTGGTGCAACTACAGCCGGAAGCACCTCCTTGTCATTGGAAATACCCGCAAGCCTTGTCTTTATCTGTCAACTCCTCCAAAATGTTAAAACACAAACAAGATAACTCTTTCTTAAATTTTCAACCATCAATTTTTTATTCACCCAGCCTAAAAGTCCTGATTATCAGTTCTGGGTCCCTGGCAATGACTGTTGGGTACAAACTGCAAAGCTTTGTTCGTCAGGTAGGGCTGGGCTTTTCATTGACCATGGGTTGGAATAGTTTTGTGGGCATAGTGTGTCTTCGAAGCCACTATGTTTTCTGCACTTGTGACTAGAGAGCACCTTTATAGCTCAGTTGGTAGAGCGGTGGACTGTAAGATGCTCCTTGTGTGAAACGCTGTGATCCTAAGGTCGCTGGTTCAACTCCAGCCGGAAGCACCTCCTTGTCATTGGAAATACCCGCAAGCCTTGTCTTTATCTGTCAACTCGTCCAAAATGTAAAAACACAAACAAGATAACTCTTTCTTAAATTTTCAACCATCAATTTTTTATTCACCCAGCCTAAAAGTCCTGATTATCAGTTCTGGGTCCCTGGCAATGACTGTTGGGTACAAACTGCAAAGCTTTGTTCGTCAGGTAGGGCTGGGCTTTTCATTGACCATGGGTTGGAATAGTTTTGTGGGCATAGTGTGTCTTCGAAGCCACTATGTTTTCTGCACTTGTGACTAGAGAGCACCTTGATAGCTCAGTTGGTAGAGCGGTGGACTGTAAGATGCTCCTTGTGTGAAACGCTGTGATCCTAAGGTCGCTGGTTCAACTCCAGCCGGAAGCACCTCCTTGTCATTGGAAATACCCCCAAGCCTTGTCTATATCTGTCAACTCCTCCAAAATGTAAAAACACAAACAAGATAACTCTTTCTTAAAATTTCAACCATCAATTTTTTATTCACCCAGCCTAAAAGTCCTGATTATCAGTTCTGGGTCCCTGGCAATGACTGTTGGGTACAAACTGCAAAGCTTTGTTCGTCAGGTAGGGCTGGGCTTTTCATTGACCATGGGATGGAATAGTTCTGTGGGCATAGTGTGTCTTCGAAGCCACTATGTTTTCTGCACTTGTGAATAGAGAGCCCCTTGATAGCTCAGTTGGTAGAGCCGTGGACTGTAAAATGCTCCTTGTGTGAAACGCTGTGATCCTAAGGTCGCTGGTGCAACTACAGCCGGAAGCACCTCCTTGTCATTGGAAATACCCGCAAGCCTTGTCTTTATCCGTCAACTCCTCCAAAATGTAAAAACACAAACAAGATAACTCTTTCTTAAATTTTCAACCATCAATTTTTTATTCACCCAGCCTAAAAGTCCTGATTATCAGTTCTGGGTCCCTGGCAATGACTGTTGGGTACAAACTGCAAAGCTTTGTTCGTCAGGTAGGGCTGGGCTTTTCATTGACCATGGGTTGGAATAGTTCTGTGGGCATAGTGTGTCTTAGAAGCCACTATGTTTTCTGCACTTGTGACTAGAGAGCACCTTGATAGCTCAGTTGGTAGAGCGGTGGACTGTAAGATGCTCCTTGTGTGAAACGCTGTGATCCTAAGGTCGCTGGTTCAACTCCAGCCGGAAGCACCTCCTTGTCATTCGAAAAACCCGCAAGCCTTGTCTTTATCTGTCAACTCTTCCAAAATGTAAAAACACAAACAAGATAACTCTTTCTTAAATTTTCAACCATCAATTTTTTATTCACCCAGCCTAAAAGTCCTGATTATCAGTTCTGGGTCCCTGGCAATGACTTTTGGGTACAAACTGCAAAGCTTTGTTCGTCAGGTAGGGCTGGGCTTTTCATTGACCATGGGTTGGAATAGTTATGCTGGCATAGTGTGTCTTCGAAGCCACTATGTTTTCTGCACTTGTGACTAGAGAGCACCTTGATAGCTCAGTTGGTCGAGCGGTGGACTGTAAGATGCTCCTTGTGTGAAACGCTGTGATCCTAAGGTCGCTGGTTCAACTCCAGCCGGAAGCACCTCCTTGTCATTGGAAATACCCCCAAGCCTTGTCTTTATCTGTCAACTCCTCCAAAATGTAAAAACACAAACAAGATAACTCTTTCTTAAATTTTCAACCATCAATTTTTTATTCACCCAGCCTAAAAGTCCTGATTATCAGTTCTGGGTCCCTGGCAATGACTGTTGGGTACAAACTGCAAAGCTTTGTTCGTCAGGTAGGGCTGGGCTTTTCATTGACCATGGGTTGGAATAGTTCTGTGGGCATAGTGTGTCTTCGAAGCCACTATGTTTTCTGCACTTGTGACTAGAGAGCACCTTGATAGCTCAGTTGGTAGAGCGGTGGACTGTAAGATGCTCCTTGTGTGAAACGCTGTGATCCTAAGGTCGCTGGTTCAACTCCAGCCAGAAGCACCTCCTCGTCATTGGAAATACCCCAAAGCCTTGTCTTTATCTGTCAACTCCTCCAAAATGTAAAAACACAAACAAGATAACTCTTTCTTAAATTTTCAACCATCAATTTTTTATTCACCCAGCCTAAAAGTCCTGATTATCAGTTCTGGGTCCCTGGCAGTGACTGTTGGGTACAAACTGCAAAGCTTTGTTCGTCAGGTAGGGCTGGGCTTTTCATTGACCATGGGTTGGAATAGTTCTGTGGGCATAGTGTGTCTTCGAAGCCACTATGTTTTCTGCACTTGTGACTAGAGAGCACCTTGATAGCTCAGTTGGTAGAGCGGTGGACTGTAAGATGCTCCTTGTGTGAAACGCTGTGATCCTAAGGTCGCTGGTTCAACTCCAGCCGGAAGCACCTCCTTGTCATTGGAAATACCCGCAAGCCTTGTCTTTATCTGTCAACTCCTCCAAAATGTAAAAACACAAACAAGATAAGTGTTTCTTAAATTTTCAACCATCAATTTTTTATTCACCCAGCCTAAAAGTCCTGATTATCAGTTCTGGGTCCCTGGCAATGACTGTTGGGTACAAACTGCAAAGCTTTGTTCGTCAGGTAGGGCTGGGCTTTTCATTGACCATGGGTTGGAATAGTTCTGTGGGCATAGTGTGTCTTCGAAGCCACTATGTTTTCTGCACTTGTGACTAGAGAGCACCTTGATAGCTCAGTTGGTAGAGCGGTGGACTGTAAGATGCTCCTTGTGTGAAACGCCGTGATCCTATGGTCGCTGGTTCAACTCCAGCCGGAAGCACCTCCTTGTCATTGGAAATGCCCCCAAGCCTTGTCTTTATCTGTCAACTCCTCCAAAATGTAAAAACACAAACAAGATAACTCTTTCTTAAATTTTCAACCATCAATTTTTTATTCACCCAGCCTAAAAGTCCTGATTATCAGTTCTGGGTCCCTGGCAATGACTGTTGGGTACAAACTGCAAAGCTTTGTTCGTCAGGTAGGGCTGGGCTTTTCATTGACCATGGGTTGGAATAGTTCTGTGGGCATAGTGTGTCTTCGAAGCCACTATGTTTTCTGCACTTGTGACTAGAGAGCACCTTCATAGCTCAGTTGGTAGAGCGGTGGACTGTAAGATGCTCCTTGTGTGAAACGCCGTGATCCTAAGGTCGCTGGTTCAACTCCAGCCGGAAGCACCTCCTTGTCATTGGAAATACCCCCAAGCCTTGTCTTTATCTGTCAACTCCTCCAAAATGTAAAAACACAAACAAGATAACTCTTTCTTAAATTTTCAACCATCAATTTTTTATTCACCCAGCCTAAAAGTCCTGATTATCAGTTCTGGGTCCCTGGCAATGACTGTTGGGTACAAACTGCAAAGCTTTGTTCGTCAGGTAGGGCTGGGCTTTTCATTGACCATGGGTTGGAATAGTTCTGTGGGCATAGTGTGTCTTCGAAGCCACTATGTTTTCTGCACTTGTGACTAGAGAGCACCTTGATAGCTCAGTTGGTAGAGCGGTGGACTGTAAGATGCTCCTTGTGTGAAACGCCGTGATCCTAAGGTCGCTGGTTCAACTCCAGCCGGAAGCACCTCCTTGTCATTGGAAATACCCCCAAGCCTTGTCTTTATCTGTCAACTCCTCCAAAATGTAAAAACACAAACAAGATAACTCTTTCTTAAATTTTCAACCATCAATTTTTTATTCACCCAGCCTAAAAGTCCTGATTATCAGTTCTGGGTCCCTGGCAATGACTGTTGGGTACAAACTGCAAAGCTTTGTTCGTCAGGTAGGGCTGGGCTTTTCATTGACCATGGGTTGGAATAGTTCTGTGGGCATAGTGTGTCTTCGAAGCCACTATGTTTTCTGCACTTGTGACTAGAGAGCACCTTGATAGCTCAGTTGGTAGAGCGGTGGACTGTAAGATGCTCCTTGTGTGAAACGCTGTGATCCTAAGGTCGCTGGTTCAACTCCAGCCGGAAGCACCTCCTTGTCATTGGAAATACCCCCAAGCCTTGTCTTTATCTGTCAACTCCTCCAAAATGTAAAAACACAAACAAGATAACTCTTTCTTAAATTTTCAACCATCAATTTTTTATTCACCCAGCCTAAAAGTCCTGATTATCAGTTCTGGGTCCCTGGCAATGACTGTTGGGTACAAACTGCAAAGCTTTGTTCGTCAGGTAGGGCTGGGCTTTTCATTGACCATGGGTTGGAATAGTTCTGTGGGCATAGTGTGTCTTCGAAGCCACTATGTTTTCTGCACTTGTGACTAGAGAGCACCTTGATAGCTCAGTTGGTAGAGCGGTGGACTGTAAGATGCTCCTTGTGTGAAACGCTGTGATCCTAAGGTCGCTGGTTCAACTCCAGCCGGAAGCACCTCCTTGTCATTGGAAATACCCCCAAGCCTTGTCTTTATCTGTCAACTCCTCCAAAATGTAAAAACACAAACAAGATAACTCTTTCTTAAATTTTCAACCATCAATTTTTTATTCACCCAGCCTAAAAGTCCTGATTATCAGTTCTGGGTCCCTGGCAATGACTGTTGGGTACAAACTGCAAAGCTTTGTTCGTCAGGTAGGGCTGGGCTTTTCATTGACCATGGGTTGGAATAGTTCTGTGGGCATAGTGTGTCTTCGAAGCCACTATGTTTTCTGCACTTGTGACTAGAGAGCACCTTGATAGCTCAGTTGGTAGAGCGGTGGACTGTAAGATGCTCCTTGTGTGAAACGCTGTGATCCTAAGGTCGCTGGTTCAACTCCAGCCGGAAGCACCTCCTTGTCATTGGAAATACCCCCAAGCCTTGTCTTTATCTGTCAACTCCTCCAAAATGTAAAAACACAAACAAGATAACTCTTTCTTAAATTTTCAACCATCAATTTTTTATTCACCCAGCCTAAAAGTCCTGATTATCAGTTCTGGGTCCCTGGCAATGACTGTTGGGTACAAACTGCAAAGCTTTGTTCGTCAGGTAGGGCTGGGCTTTTCATTGACCATGGGTTGGAATAGTTCTGTGGGCATAGTGTGTCTTCGAAGCCACTATGTTTTCTGCACTTGTGACTAGAGAGCACCTTGATAGCTCAGTTGGTATAGCGGTGGACTGTAAGATGCTCCTTGTGTGAAACGCTGTGATCCTAAGGTCGCTGGTTCAACTCCAGCCGGAAGCACCTCCTCGTCATTGGAAATACCCCCAAGCCTTGTCTTTATCTGTCAACTCCTCCAAAATGTAAAAACACAAACAAGATAACTCTTTCTTAAATTTTCAACCATCAATTTTTTATTCACCCAGCCTAAAAGTCCTGATTATCAGTTCTGGGTCCCTGGCAATGACTGTTGGGTACAAACTGCAAAGCTTTGTTCGTCAGGTAGGGCTGGGCTTTTCATTGACCATGGGTTGGAATAGTTCTGTGGGCATAGTGTGTCTTCGAAGCCACTATGTTTTCTGCACTTGTGACTAGAGAGCACCTTGATAGCTCAGTTGGTAGAGCGGTAGACTGTAAAATGCTCCTTGTGTGAAACGCTGTCATCCTAAGGTCGCTGGTTCAACTCCAGCCGGAAGCACCTCCTTGTCATTGGAAATACCCCCAAGCCTTGTCTTTATCTGTCAACTCCTCCAAAATGTAAAAACACAAACAAGATAACTCTTTCTTAAATTTTCAACCATCAATTTTTTATTCACCCAGCCTAAAAGTCCTGATTATCAGTTCTGGGTCCCTGGCAATGACTGTTGGGTACAAACTGCAAAGCTTTGTTCGTCAGGTAGGGCTGGGCTTTTCATTGACCATGGGTTGGAATAGTTCTGTGGGCAAAGTGTGTCTTCGAAGCCACTATGTTTTCTGCACTTGTGACTAGAGAGCACCTTGATAGCTCAGTTGGTAGAGCGTTGTACTGTAAGATGCTCCTTGTGTGAAACGCTGTGATCCTAAGGTGGCTGGTTCAACTCCAGCCGGAAGCACCTCCTTGTCATTGGAAATACCCCCAAGCCTTGTCTTTATCTGTCAACTCCTCCAAAATGTAAAAACACAAACAAGATAACTCTTTCTTAAATTTTCAACCATCAATTTTTTATTCACCCAGCCTAAAAGTCCTGATTATCAGTTCTGGGTCCCTGGCAATGACTGTTGGGTACAAACTGCAAAGCTTTGTTCGTCAGGTAGGGCTGGGCTTTTCATTGACCATGGGTTGGAATAGTTCTGTGGGCATAGTGTGTCTTCGAAGCCACTATGTTTTCTGCACTTGTGACTAGAGAGCACCTTGATAGCTCAGTTGGTAGAGCGGTGGACTGTAAGATGCTCCTTGTGTGAAACGCTGTGATCCTAAGGTCGCTGGTTCAACTCCAGCCGGAAGCACCTCCTTGTCATTGGAAATACCCCCAAGCCTTGTCTTTATCTGTCAACTCCTCCAAAATGTAAAAACACAAACAAGATAACTCTTTCTTAAATTTTCAACCATCAATTTTTTATTCACCCAGCCTAAAAGTCCTGATTATCAGTTCTGGGTCCCTGGCAATGACTGTTGGGTACAAACTGCAAAGCTTTGTTCTGCAGGTAGGGCTGGGCTTTTCATTGAACCATGGGTTGGAATAGTTCTGTGGGCATAGTGTGTCTTCGAAGCCACTATGTTTTCTGCACTTGTGACTAGAGAGCACCTTGATAGCTCAGTTGGTAGAACGGTGGACTGTAAGATGCTCCTTGTGTGAAACGCTGTGATCCTAAGGTGGCTGTTTCAACTCCAGCCGGAAGCACCTCCTTGTCATTGGAAATACCCCCAAGCCTTGTCTTTATCTGTCAACTCCTCCAAAATGTAAAAACACAAACAAGATAACTCTTTCTTAAATTTTCAACCATCAATTTTTTATTCACCCAGCCTAAAAGTCCTGATTATCAGTTCTGGGTCCCTGGCAATGACTGTTGGGTACAAACTGCAAAGCTTTGTTCGTCAGGTAGGGCTGGGCTTTTCATTGACCATGGGTTGGAATAGTTCTGTGGGCATAGTGTGTCTTCGAAGCCACTATGTTTTCTGCACTTGTGACTACAGAGCACCTTGATAGCTCAGCTGGTAGAACGGTGGACTGTAAGATGCTCCTTGTGTGAAACGCTGTGATCCTAAGGTGGCTGGTTCAACTCCAGCCGGAAGCACCTCCTCGTCATTGGAAATGCCCCCAAGCCTTGTCTTTATCTGTCAACTCCTCCAAAATGTAAAAACACAAACAAGATAACTCTTTCTTAAATTTTCAACCATCAATTTTTTATTCACCCAGCCTAAAAGTCCTGATTATCAGTTCTGGGTCCCTGGCAATGACTGTTGGGTACAAACTGCAAAGCTTTGTTCGTCAGGTAGGGCTGGGCTTTTCATTGACCATGGGTTGGAATAGTTCTGTGGGCATAGTGTGTCTTCGAAGCCACTATGATTTCTGCACTAGTGACTAGAGAGCCCCTTGATAGCTCAGTTGGTAGAGCGGTGGACTGTAAGATGCTCCTTGTGTGAAACGCTGTGATCCTAAGGTCGCTGGTTCAACTCCTGCCGGAAGCACCTCCTTGTCATTGGAAATACCCCCAAGCCTTGTCTTTATCTGTCAACTCCTCCAAAATGTAAAAACACAAACAAGATAACTCGTTCTTAAATTTTCAACCATCAATTTTTTATTCACCCAGCCTAAAAGTCCTGATTATCAGTTCTGGGTCCCTGGCAATGACTGTTGGGTACAAACTGCAAAGCTTTGTTCGTCAGGTAGGGCTGGGCTTTTCATTGACCATGGGTTGGAATAGTTCTGTGGGCATAGTGTGTCTTCGAAGCCACTATGTTTTCTGCACTTGTGACTAGAGAGCACCTTGATAGCTCAATTGGTAGAGCGGTGGACTCTAAGATGCTCCTTGTGTGAAACGCTGTGATCCTAAGGTGGCTGGTTCAACTCCAGCCGGAAGCACCTCCTTGTCATTGGAAATACCCCCAAGCCTTGTCTTTATCTGTCAACTCCTCCAAAATGTAAAAACACAAACAAGATAACTCTTTCTTAAATTTTCAACCATCAATTTTTTAATCACCCAGCCTAAAAGTCCTGATTATCAGTTCTGGGTCCCTGGCAATGACTGCTGGGTACAAACTGCAAAGCTTTGTTCTGCAGGTAGGGCTGGGCTTTTCATTGACCATGGGTTGGAATAGTTCTGTGGGCATAGTGTGTCTTCGAAGCCACTATGTTTTCTGCACTTGTGACTAGAGAGCACCTTGATAGCTCAGTTGGTAGAGCGGTGGACTGTAAGATGCTCCTTGTGTAAAACGCTTTGATCCTAAGGTCGCTGGTTCAACTCCAGCCGCAAGCACCTCCTTGTCATTGGAAATACCCCCAACCCTTGTCTTTATCTGTCAACTCCTCCAAAATGTAAAAACACAAACAAGATAACTCTTTCTTAAATTTTCAACCATCAATTTTTTATTCACCCAGCCTAAAAGTCCTGATTATCAGTTCTGGGTCCCTGGCAATGACTGTTGGGTACAAACTGCAAAGCTTTGTTCGTCAGGTAGGGCTGGGCTTTTCATTGACCATGGGTTGGAATAGTTCTGTGGGCATAGTGTGTCTTAGAAGCCACTATGTTTTCTGCACTTGTGACTAGAGAGCACCTTGATAGCTCAGTTGGTAGAGCGGTGGACTGTAAGATGCTCCTTGTGTGAAACGCTGTGATCCTAAGGTCGCTGGTTCAACTCCAGCCGGAAGCACCTCCTTGTCATTGGAAATACCCCCAAGCCTTGTCTTTATCTGTCAACTCCTCCAAAATGTAAAAACACAAACAAGATAACTCTTTCTTAAATTTTCAACCATCAATTTTTTATTCACCCAGCCTAAAAGTCCTGATTATCAGTTCTGGGTCCCTGGCAATGACTGTTGGGTACAAACTGCAAAGCTTTGTTCGTCAGGTAGGGCTGGGCTTTTCATTGACCATGGGTTGGAATAGTTCTGTGGGCATAGTGTGTCTTCGAAGCCACTATGTTTTCTGCACTTGTGACTAGAGAGCACCTTGATAGCTCAGTTGGTAGAGCGGTGGACTGTAAGATGCTCCTTGTGTGAAACGCTGTGATCCTAAGGTCGCTGGTTCAACTCCAGCCGGAAGCACCTCCTTGTCATTGGAAATACCCCCAAGCCTTGTCTTTATCTGTCAACTCCTCCAAAATGTAAAAACACAAACAAGATAACTCTTTCTTAAATTTTCAACCATCAATTTTTTATTCACCCAGCCTAAAAGTCCTGATTATCAGTTCTGGGTCCCTGGCAATGACTGTTGGGTACAAACTGCAAAGCTTTGTTCGTCAGGTAGGGCTGGGCTTTTCATTGACCATGGGTTGGAATAGTTCTGTGGGCATAGTGTGTCTTCGAAGCCACTATGTTTTCTGCACTTGTGACTAGAGAGCACCTTGATAGCTCAGTTGGTAGAGCGGTAGACTGTAAAATGCTCCTTGTGTGAAACGCTGTCATCCTAAGGTCGCTGGTTCAACTCCAGCCGGAAGCACCTCCTTGTCATTGGAAATACCCCCAAGCCTTGTCTTTATCTGTCAACTCCTCCAAAATGTAAAAACACAAACAAGATAACTCTTTCTTAAATTTTCAACCATCAATTTTTTATTCACCCAGCCTAAAAGTCCTGATTATCAGTTCTGGGTCCCTGGCAATGACTGTTGGGTACAAACTGCAAAGCTTTGTTCGTCAGGTAGGGCTGGGCTTTTCATTGACCATGGGTTGGAATAGTTCTGTGGGCAAAGTGTGTCTTCGAAGCCACTATGTTTTCTGCACTTGTGACTAGAGAGCACCTTGATAGCTCAGTTGGTAGAGCGTTGTACTGTAAGATGCTCCTTGTGTGAAACGCTGTGATCCTAAGGTGGCTGGTTCAACTCCAGCCGGAAGCACCTCCTTGTCATTGGAAATACCCCCAAGCCTTGTCTTTATCTGTCAACTCCTCCAAAATGTAAAAACACAAACAAGATAACTCTTTCTTAAATTTTCAACCATCAATTTTTTATTCACCCAGCCTAAAAGTCCTGATTATCAGTTCTGGGTCCCTGGCAATGACTGCTGGGTACAAACTGCAAAGCTTTGTTCTGCAGGTAGGGCTGGGCTTTTCATTGACCATGGGTTGGAATAGTTCTGTGGGCATAGTGTGTCTTCGAAGCCACTATGTTTTCTGCACTTGTGACTAGAGAGCACCTTGATAGCTCAGTTGGTAGAGCGGTGGACTGTAAGATGCTCCTTGTGTAAAACGCTTTGATCCTAAGGTCGCTGGTTCAACTCCAGCCGCAAGCACCTCCTTGTCATTGGAAATACCCCCAACCCTTGTCTTTATCTGTCAACTCCTCCAAAATGTAAAAACACAAACAAGATAACTCTTTCTTAAATTTTCAACCATCAATTTTTTATTCACCCAGCCTAAAAGTCCTGATTATCAGTTCTGGGTCCCTGGCAATGACTGTTGGGTACAAACTGCAAAGCTTTGTTCGTCAGGTAGGGCTGGGCTTTTCATTGACCATGGGTTGGAATAGTTCTGTGGGCATAGTGTGTCTTAGAAGCCACTATGTTTTCTGCACTTGTGACAAGAGAGCACCTTGATAGCTCAGTTGGTAGAGCGGTGGACTGTAAGATGCTCCTTGTGTGAAACGCTGTGATCCTAAGGTCGCTGGTTCAACTCCAGCCGGAAGCACCTCCTTGTCATTGGAAATACCCCCAAGCCTTGTCTTTATCTGTCAACTCCTCCAAAATGTAAAAACACAAACAAGATAACTCTTTCTTAAATTTTCAACCATCAATTTTTTATTCACCCAGCCTAAAAGTCCTGATTATCAGTTCTGGGTCCCTGGCAATGACTGTTGGGTACAAACTGCAAAGCTTTGTTCGTCAGGTAGGGCTGGGCTTTTCATTGACCATGGGTTGGAATAGTTCTGTGGGCATAGTGTGTCTTCGAAGCCACTATGTTTTCTGCACTTGTGACTAGAGAGCACCTTGATAGCTCAGTTGGTAGAGCGGTGGACTGTAAGATGCTCCTTGTGTGAAACGCTGTGATCCTAAGGTCGCTGGTTCAACTCCAGCCGGAAGCACCTCCTTGTCATTGGAAATACCCCCAAGCCTTGTCTTTATCTGTCAACTCCTCCAAAATGTAAAAACACAAACAAGATAACTCTTTCTTAAATTTTCAACCATCAATTTTTTATTCACCCAGCCTAAAAGTCCTGATTATCAGTTCTGGGTCCCTGGCAATGACTGCTGGGTACAAACTGCAAAGCTTTGTTCTGCAGGTAGGGCTGGGCTTTTCATTGACCATGGGTTGGAATAGTTCTGTGGGCATAGTGTGTCTTCGAAGCCACTATGTTTTCTGCACTTGTGACTAGAGAGCACCTTGATAGCTCATTTGGTAGAGCGGTGGACTGTAAGATGCTCCTTGTGTGAAAAGCTGTGATCCTAAGGTCGCTGGTTCAACTCCAGCCGGAAGCACCTCCTTGTCATTGGAAATACCCCCAAGCTCTGTCTTTATCTGTCAACTCCTCCAAAATGTAAAAACACAAACAAGATAACTCTTTCTTAAATTTTCAACCATCAATTTTTTTTTCACCCAGCCTAAAAGTCCTGATTATCAGTTCTGGGTCCCTGGCAATGACTGTTGGTTACAAATTGCAAAGCTTTGTTCGTCAGGTAGGGCTGGGCTTTTCATTGACCATGGGTTGGAATAGTTCTGTGGGCATAGTGTGTCTTCGAAGCCACTATGTTTTCTGCACTTGTGACTAGAGAGCACCTTGATAGCTCAGTTGGTAGAGCGGTGGACTGTAAGATGCTCCTTGTGTGAAACTCTGTGATCCTAAGGTCGCTGGTTCAACTCCAGCCGGAAGCACCTCCTTGTCATTGGGAATACCCCCAAGCCTTGTCTTTATCTGTCAACTCCTCCAAAATGTAAAAACACAAACAAGATAACTCTTTCTTAAATTTTCAACCATCAATTTTTTATTCACCCAGCCTAAAAGTCCTGATTATCAGTTCTGGGTCCCTGGCAATGACTGTTGGGTACAAACTGCAAAGCTTTGTTCTGCAGGTAGGGCTGGGCTTTTCATTGACCATGGGTTGGAATAGTTCTGTGGGCATAGTGTGTCTTAGAAGCCACTATGTTTTTTGCACTTGTGACTAGAGAGCACCTTGATAGCTCAGTTGGCAGAGCGGTGGACTGTAAGATGCTCCTTGTGTGAAACGCTGTGATCCTAAGGTCGCTGGTTCAACTCCAGCAGGAAGCACCTCCTTGTCATTGGAAATACCCCCAAGCCTTGTCTTTATCTGTCAACTCCTCCAAAATGTAAAAACACAAACAAGATAACTCTTTCTTAAATTTTCAACCATCAATTTTTTATTCACCCAGCCTAATAGTCCTGATTATCAGTTCTGGGTCCCTGGCAATGACTGTTGGGTACAAACTGCAAAGCTTTGTTCTGCAGGTAGGGCTGGGCTTTTCATTGACCATGGGTTGGAATAGTTCTGTGGGCATAGTGTGTCTTAGAAGCCACTATGTTTTCTGCACTTGTGACTACAGAGCACCTTGATAGCTCAGTTGGCAGAGCGGTGGACGGTAAGATGCTCCTTGTGTGAAACGCTGTGATCCTAACGTCGCTGGTTCAACTCCAGCCGGAAGCACCTCCTTGTCATTGGAAATACCCCCAAGCCTTGTCTTTATCTGTCAACTCCTCCAAAATGTAAAAACACAAACAAGATAACTCTTTCTTAAATTTTCAACCATCAATTTTTTATTCACCCAGCCTAATAGTCCTGATTATCAGTTCTGGGTCCCTGGCAATGACTGTTGGGTACAAACTGCAAAGCTTTGTTCTGCTGGTAGGGCTGGGCTTTTCATTGACCATGGGTTGGAATAGTTCTGTGGGCATAGTGTGTCTTCGAAGCCACTATGTTTTCTGCACTTGTGACTAGAGAGCACCTTGATAGCTCAGTTGGTAGAGCGGTGGACTGTAAGATGCTCCTTGTGTGAAACGCTGTGATCCTAAGGTCGCTGGTTCAACTCCAGCCGCAAGCACCTCCTTGTCATTGGAAATACCCCCAAGCCTTGTCTTTATCTGTCAACTCCTCCAAAATGTAAAAACACAAACAAGATAACTCTTTCTTAAATTTTCAACCATCAATTTTTTATTCACCCATCCTAAAAGTCCTGATTATCAGTTCTTGGTCCCTGGCAATGACTGTTGGGTACAAACTGCAAAGCTTTGTTCGTCAGGTAGGGCTGGGCTTTTCATTGACCATGGGTTGGAATAGTTCTGTGGGCATAGTGTGTCTTCGAAGCCACTATGTTTTCTGCACTTGTGACTAGAGAGCACCTTGATAGCTCAGTTGGTAGAGCGGTGGACTGTAAGATGCTCCTTGTGTGAAACGCTGTCATCCTAAGGTCGGCTGGTTCAACTCCAGCCGGAAGCACCTCCTTGTCATTGGAAATACCCCCAAGCCTTGTCTTTATCTGTCAACTCCTCCAAAATGTAAAAACACAAACAAGATAACTCTTTCTTAAATTTTCAACCATCAATTTTTTATTCACCCAGCCTAAAAGTCCTGATTATCAGTTCTGGGTCCCTGGCAATGACTGCTGGGTACAAACTGCAAAGCTTTGTTCTGCAGGTAGGGCTGGGCTTTTCATTGACCATGGGTTGGAATAGTTCTGTGGGCATAGTGTGTCTTCGAAGCCACTATGTTTTCTGCACTTGTGACTAGAGAGCACCTTGATAGCTCAGTTGGCAGAGCGGTGGACTGTAAGATGCTCCTTGTGCGAAACGCTGTGATCGTAAGGTCGCTGGTTCAACTCCATCCGGAAGAACCTCCTTGTCATTGGAAATACCCCCAAGTCTTGTCTTTATCTGTCAACTCCTCCAAAATGTAAAAACACAAACAAGATAACTCTTTCTTAAATTTTCAACCATCAATTTTTTATTCACCCATCCTAAAAGTCCTGATTATCAGTTCTTGGTCCCTGGCAATGACTGTTGGGTACAAACTGCAAAGCTTTGTTCGTCAGGTAGGGCTGGGCTTTTCATTGACCATGGGTTGGAATAGTTCTGTGGGCATAGTGTGTCTTCGAAGCCACTATGTTTTCTGCACTTGTGACTAGAGAGCACCTTGATAGCTCAGTTGGTAGAGCGCTGGACTGTAAGATGCTCCTTGTGTGAAACGCTGTGATCCTAAGGTTGCTGGTTCAACTCCAGCCGGAAGCACCTCCTTGTCATTGGAAATACCCCCAAGCCTTGTCTTTATCTGTCAACTCCTCCAAAATGTAAAAACACAAACAAGATAACTCTTTCTTAAATTTTCAACCATCAATTTTTTATTCACCCAGCCTAAAAGTCCTGATTATCAGTTCTGGGTCCCTGGCAATGACTGTTGGGTACAAACTGCAAAGCTTTGTTCGTCAGGTAGGGCTGGGCTTTTCATTGACCATGGGTTGGAATAGTTCTGTGGGCATAGTGTGTCTTCGAAGCCACTATGTTTTCTGCACTTGTGACTAGAGAGCACCTTGATAGCTCAGTTGGTAGAGCGCTGGACTGTAAGATGCTCCTTGTGTGAAACGCTGTGATCGTAAGGTCGCTGGTTCAACTCCATCCGGAAGAACATCCTTGTCATTGGAAATACCCCCAAGCCTTGTCTTTATCTGTCAACTCCTCCAAAATGTAAAAACACAAACAAGATAACTCTTTCTTAAATTTTCAACCATCAATTTTTTATTCACCCATCCTAAAAGTCCTGATTATCAGTTCTTGGTCCCTGGCAATGACTGTTGGGTACAAACTGCAAAGCTTTGTTCGTCAGGTAGGGCTGGGCTTTTCATTGACCATGGGTTGGAATAGTTCTGTGGGCATAGTGTGTCTTCGAAGCCACTATGTTTTCTGCACTTGTGACTAGAGAGCACCTTGATAGCTCAGTTGGTAGAGCGCTGGACTGTAAGATGCTCCTTGTGTGAAACGCTGTGATCCTAAGGTTGCTGGTTCAACTCCAGCCGGAAGCACCTCCTTGTCATTGGAAATACCCCCAAGCCTTGTCTTTATCTGTCAACTCCTCCAAAATGTAAAAACACAAACAAGATAACTCTTTCTTAAATTTTCAACCATCAATTTTTTATTCACCCAGCCTAAAAGTCCTGATTATCAGTTCTGGGTCCCTGGCAATGACTGCTGGGTACAAACTGCAAAGCTTTGTTCTGCAGGTAGGGCTGGGCTTTTCATTGACCATGGGTTGGAATAGTTCTGTGGGCATAGTGTGTCTTCGAAGCCACTATGTTTTCTGCACTTGTGACTAGAGAGCACCTTGATAGCTCAGTTGGTAGAGCGGTGGACTGTAAGATGCTCCTTGTGTAAAACGCTTTGATCCTAAGGTCGCTGGTTCAACTTCAGCCGCAAGCACCTCCTTGTCATTGGAAATACCCCCAAGCCTTGTCTTTATCTGTCAACTCCTCCAAAATGTAAAAACACAAACAAGATAACTCTTTCTTAAATTTTCAACCATCAATTTTTTATTCACCCAGCCTAAAAGTCCTGATTATCAGTTCTGGGTCCCTGGCAATGACTGTTGGGTACAAACTGCAAAGCTTTGTTCGTCAGGTAGGGCTGGGCTTTTCATTAACCATGGGTTGGAATAGTTCTGTGGGCATAGTGTGTCTTCGAAGCCACTATGTTTTCTGCACTTGTGACTAGAGAGCACCTTGATAGCTCAGTTGGTAGAGCGGTGGACTGTAAGATGCTCCTTGTGTGAAACGCTGTCATCCTAAGGTCGCTGGTTCAACTCCAGCCGGAAGCACCTCCTTGTCATAGGAAATACCCCCAAGCCTTGTCTTTATCTGTCAACTCCTCCAAAATGTAAAAACACAAACAAGATAACTCTTTCTTAAATTTTCAACCATCAATTTTTTATTCACCCAGCCTAAAAGTCCTGATTATCAGTTCTGGGTCCCTGGCAATGACTGTTGGGTACAAACTGCAAAGCTTTGTTCGTCAGGTTGGGCTGGGCTTTTCATTGACCATGGGTTGGAATAGTTCTGTGGGCATAGTGTGTCTTCGAAGCCACTATGTTTTCTGCACTTGTGACTAGAGAGCACCTTGATAGCTCAGTTGGTAGAGCGGTGGACTTTAAGATGCTCCTTGTGTGAAACGCTGTGATCCTAAGGTCGCTGGTTCAACTCCAGCCGGAAGCACCTCCTTGTCATTGGAAATACCCCCAAGCCTTGTCTTTATCTGTCAACTCCTCCAAAATGTAAAAACACAAACAAGATAACTCTTTCTTAAATTTTCAACCATCAATTTTTTATTCACCCAGCCTAAAAGTCCTGATTATCAGTTCTGGGTCCCTGGCAATGACTGTTGGGTACAAACTGCAAAGCTTTGTTCGTCAGGTAGGGCTGGGCTTTTCATTGACCATGGGTTGGAATAGTTCTGTGAGCATAGTGTGTCTTCGAAGCCACTATGTTTTCTGCACTTGTGACTAGAGAGCACCTTGATAGCTCAGTTGGTAGAGCGGTGGACTGTAAGATGCTCCTTGTGTGAAACGCTGTGATCCTAAGGTCGCTGGTTCAACTCCAGCCGGAAGCACCTCCTTGTCATTGGAAATACCCCCAAGCCTTGTCTTTATCTGTCAACTCCTCCAAAATGTAAAAACACAAACAAGATAACTCTTTCTTAAATTTTCAACCATCAATTTTTTATTCACCCAGCCTAAAAGTCCTGATTATCAGTTCTGGGTCCCTGGCAATGACTGCTGGGTACAAACTGCAAAGCTTTGTTCTGCAGGTAGGGCTGGGCTTTTCATTGACCATGGGTTGGAATAGTTCTGTGGGCATAGTGTGTCTTCGAAGCCACTATGTTTTCTGCACTTGTGACTAGAGAGCACCTTGATAGCTCAGTTGGTAGAGCGGTGGACTGTAAGATGCTCCTTGTGTAAAACGCTTTGATCCTAAGGTCGCTGGTTCAACTCCAGCCGCAAGCACCTCCTTGTCTTTGGAAATACCCCCAAGCCTTGTCTTTATCTGTCAACTCCTCCAAAATGTAAAAACACAAACAAGATAACTCTTTCTTAAATTTTCAACCATCAATTTTTTATTCACCCAGCCTAAAAGTCCTGATTATCAGTTCTTGGTCCCTGGCAATGACTGTTGGGTACAAACTGCAAAGCTTTGTTCGTCAGGTAGGGCTGGGCTTTTCATTGACCATGGGTTGGAATAGTTCTGTGGGCATAGTGTGTCTTCGAAGCCACTATGTTTTCTGCACTTGTGACTAGAGAGCACCTTGATAGCTCAGTTGGTAGAGCAATGCACTGTAACATGCTCCTTGTGTGAAAAGCTGTGATCCTAAGGTAGCTGGTTCAACTCCAGCCGGAAGCACCTCCTTGTCATTGGAAATACCCCCAAGCCTTGTCTTTATCTGTCAACTCCTCCAAAATGTAAAAACACAAACAAGATAACTCTTTCTTAAATTTTCAACCATCAATTTTTTATTCACCCAGCCTAAAAGTCCTGATTATCAGTTCTGGGTCCCTGGCAATGACTGCTGGGTACAAACTGCAAAGCTTTGTTCTGCAGGTAGGGCTGGGCTTTTCATTGACCATGGGTTGGAATAGTTCTGTGGGCATAGTGTGTCTTCGAAGCCACTATGTTTTCTGCACTTGTGACTAGAGAGCACCTTGATAGCTCAGTTGGTAGAGCGGTGGACTGTAAGATGCTCCTTGTGTGAAAAGCTGTGATCCTAAGGTCGCTGGTTCAACTCCAGCCGGAAGCACCTCCTTGTCATTGGAAATACCCCCAAGCCTTGTCTTTATCTGTCAACTCCTCCAAAATGTAAAAACACAAACAAGATAACTCTTTCGTAAATTTTCAACCATCAATTTTTTATTCACCCAGCCTAAAAGTCCTGATTATCAGTTCTGGGTCCCTGGCAATGACTGTTGGTTACAAACTGCAAAGCTTTGTTCGTCAGGTAGGGCTGGGCTTTTCATTGACCATGGGTTGGAATAGTTCTGTGGGCATAGTGTGTCTTCGAAGCCACTATGTTTTCTGCACTTGTGACTAGAGAGCACCTTGATAGCTCAGTTGGTAGAGCGGTGGACTGTAAGATGCTCCTTGTGTGAAACTCTGTGATCCTAAGGTCGCTGGTTCAACTCCAGCCGGAAGCACCTCCTTTGTCATTGGAAATACCCCCAAGCCTTGTCTTTATCTGGCAACTCCTCCAAAATGTAAAAACACAAACAAGATAACTCTTTCTTAAATTTTCAACCATCAATTTTTTATTCACCCAGCCTAAAAGTCCTGATTATCAGTTCTGGGTCCCTGGCAATGACTGTTGGGTACAAACTGCAAAGCTTTGTTCTGCAGGTAGGGCTGGGCTTTTCATTGACCATGGGTTGGAATAGTTCTGTGGGCATAGTGTGTCTTCGAAGCCACTATGTTTTCTGCACTTGTGACTAGAGAGCACCTTGATAGCTCAGTTGGCAGAGCGGTGGCCTGTAAGATGCTCCTTGTGTGAAACGCTGTGATCGTAAGGTCGCTGGTTCAACTCCAGCCGGAAGCACCTCCTTGTCATTGGAAATACCCCCAAGCCTTGTCTTTATCTGTCAACTCCTCCAAAATGTAAAAACACAAACAAGATAACTCTTTCTTAAATTTTCAACCATCAATTTTTTATTCACCCAGCCTAATAGTCCTGATTATCAGTTCTGGGTCCCTGGCAATGACTGTTGGGTACAAACTGCAAAGCTTCGTTCGTCAGGTAGGGCTGGGCTTTTCATTGACCATGGGTTGGAATAGTTCTGTGGGCATAGTGTGTCTTCAAAGCCACTATGTTTTCTGCACTTGTGACTACAGAGCACCTTGATAGCTCAGTTGGTAGAGCGGTGGACTGTAAGATGCTCCTTGTGTGAAACGCTGTGATCGTAAGGTCGCTGGTTCAACTCCAGCAGGAACCACCTCCTTGTCATTGGAAATACCCCCAAGCCTTGTCTTTATCTGGCAACTCCTCCAAAATGTAAAAACACAAACAAGATAACTCTTTCTTAAATTTTCAACCATCAATTTTTTATTCACCCAGCCTAAAAGTCCTGATTATCAGTTCTGGGTCCCTGGCAATGACTGCTGGGTACAAACTGCAAAGCTTTGTTCTGCAGGTAGGGCTGGGCTTTTCATTGACCATGGGTTGGAATAGTTCTGTGGGCATAGTGTGTCTTCGAAGCCACTATGTTTTCTGCACTTGTGACTAGAGAGCACCTTGATAGCTCAGTTGGTAGAGCGGTGGACTGTAAGATGCTCCTTGTGTAAAACGCTTTGATCCTAAGGTCGCTGGTTCAACTCCAGCCGGAAGCACCTCCTTGTCATTGGAAATACCCCCAAGCCTTGTCTTTATCTGTCAACTCCTCCAAAATGTAAAAACACAAACAAGATAACTCTTTCTTAAATTTTCAACCATCAATTTTTTATTCACCCAGCCTAAAAGTCCTGATTATCAGTTCTGGGTCCCTGGCAATGACTGTTGGGTACAAACTGCAAAGCTTTGTTCTGCAGGTAGGGCTGGGCTTTTCATTGACCATGGGTTGGAATAGTTCTGTGGGCATAGTGTGTCTCCGAAGCCACTATGTTTTCTGCACTTGTGACTAGAGAGCACCTTGATAGCTCAGTTGGCCGAGCCAGTGGTCTGTAAGATGCTCCTTGTGTGAAACGCTGTGATCCTAAGGTCGCTGGTTCAACTCCAGCCGGAAGCACCTCTTTGTCATTGGAAATACCCCCAAGCCTTGTCTTTATCTGGAAACTCCTCCAAAATGTAAAAACACAAACAAGATAACTCTTTCTTAAATTTTCAACCATCATTTTTTTATTCACCCAGCCTAAAAGTCCTGATTATCAGTTCTGGGTCCCTGGCAATGACTGTTGGGTACAAACTGCAAAGCTTTGTTCGTCAGGTAGGGCTGGGCTTTTCATTGACCATGGGTTGGAATAGTTCTGTGAGCATAGTGTGTCTTCGAAGCCACTATGTTTTCTGCACTTGTGACTAGAGAGCACCTTGATAGCTCAGTTGGTAGAGCGGTGGACTGTAAGATGCTCCTTGTGTGAAACGCTGTGATCCTAAGGTCGCTGGTTCAACTCCAGCCGGAAGCACCTCCTTGTCATAGGAAATACCCCCAAGCCTTGTCTTTATCTGTCAACTCCTCCAAAATGTAAAAACACAAACAAGATAACTCTTTCTTAAATTTTCAACCATCAATTTTTTATTCACCCAGCCTAAAAGTCCTGATTATCAGTTCTGGGTCCCTGGCAATGACTGTTGGGTACAAACTGCAAAGCTTTGTTCGTCAGGTTGGGCTGGGCTTTTCATTGACCATGGGTTGGAATAGTTCTGTGGGCATAGTGTGTCTTCGAAGCCACTATGTTTTCTGCACTTGTGACTAGAGAGCACCTTGATAGCTCAGTTGGTAGAGCGGTGGACTGTAAGATGCTCCTTGTGTGAAACGCTTTGATCCTAAGGTCGCTGGTTCAACTCCAGCCGGAAGCACCTCCTTGTCATTGGAAATACCCCCAAGCCTTGTCTTTGTCTGTCAACTCCTCCAAAATGTAAAAACACAAACAAGATAACTCTTTCTTAAATTTTCAACCATCAATTTTTTATTCACCCAGCCTAAAAGTCCTGATTATCAGTTCTGGGTCCCTGGCAATGACTGTTGGGTACAAACTGCAAAGCTTTGTTCTGCAGGTAGGGCTGGGCTTTTCATTGACCATGGGTTGGAATAGTTCTGTGGGCATAGTGTGTCTTCGAAGCCACTATGTTTTCTGCACTTGTGACTGGAGAGCACCTTGATAGCTCACTTGGTAGAGCGGTGGACTGTAAGATGCTCCTTGTGTGAAACGCTGTGATCCTAAGGTCGCTGGTTCAACTCCAGCCGGAAGCACCTCCTTGTCATTGGAAATACCCCCAAGCCTTGTCTTTATCTGGCAACTCCTCCAAAATGTAAAAACACAAACAAGATAACTCTTTCTTAAATTTTCAACCATCAATTTTTTATTCACCCAGCCTAAAAGTCCTGATTATCAGCTCTGGGTCCCTGGCAATGACTGTTGGGTACAAACTGCAAAGCTTTGTTCTGCAGGTAGGGCTGGGCTTTTCATTGACCATGGGTTGGAATAGTTCTGTGGGCATAGTTTGTCTTCGAAGCCACTATGTTTTCTGCACTTGTGACTAGAGAGCACCTTGATAGCTCGGTTTGTAGAGCGGTGGACTGTAAGATGCTCCTTGTGTGAAACGCTTTGATCCTAAGGTCGCTGGTTCAACTCCAGCCGGAAGCACCTCCTTGTCATTGGAAATACCCCCAAGCCTTGTCTTTATCTGGCAACTCCTCCAAAATGTAAAAACACAAACAAGATAACTCTTTCTTAAATTTTCAACCATCAATTTTTTATTCACCCAGCCTAAAAGTCCTGATTATCAGTTCTGGGTCCCTGGCAATGACTGTTGGGTACAAACTGCAAAGCTTTGTTCTGCAGGTAGGGCTGGGCTTTTCATTGACCATGGGTTGGAATAGTTCTGTGGGCATAGTGTGTCTTCGAAGCCACTATGTTTTCTGCACTTGTGACTAGAGAGCACCTTGATAGCTCACTTGGTAGAGCGGTGGACTGTAAGATGCTCCTTGTGTGAAACGCTGTGATCCTAAGGTCGCTGGTTCAACTCCAGCCGGAAGCACCTCCTCGTCATTGCAAATACCCCCAAGCCTTGTCTTTATCTGGCAACTCCTCCAAAATGTAAAAACACAAACAAGATAACTCTTTCTTAAATTTTCAACCATCAATTTTTTATTCACCCAGCCTAAAAGTCCTGATTATCAGCTCTGGGTCCCTGGCAATGACTGTTGGGTACAAACTGCAAAGCTTTGTTCTGCAGGTAGGGCTGGGCTTTTCATTGACCATGGGTTGGAATAGTTCTGTGGGCATAGTTTGTCTTCGAAGCCACTATGTTTTCTGCACTTGTGACTAGAGAGCACCTTGATAGCTCAGTTTGTAGAGCGGTGGACTGTAAGATGCTCCTTGTGTGAAACGCTTTGATCCTAAGGTCGCTGGTTCAACTCCAGCCGGAAGCACCTCCTTGTCATTGGAAATACCCCCAAGCCTTGTCTTTGTCTGTCAACTCCTCCAAAATGTAAAAACACAAACAAGATAACTCTTTCTTAAATTTTCAACCATCAATTTTTTATTCACCCAGCCTAAAAGTCCTGATTATCAGTTCTGGGTCCCTGGCAATGACTGTTGGGTACAAACTGCAAAGCTTTGTTCTGCAGGTAGGGCTGGGCTTTTCATTGACCATGGGTTGGAATAGTTCTGTGGGCATAGTGTGTCTTCGAAGCCACTATGTTTTCTGCACTTGTGACTGGAGAGCACCTTGATAGCTCACTTGGTAGAGCGGTGGACTGTAAGATGCTCCTTGTGTGAAACGCTGTGATCCTAAGGTCGCTGGTTCAACTCCAGCCGGAAGCACCTCCTTGTCATTGGAAATACCCCCAAGCCTTGTCTTTATCTGTCAACTCCTCCAAAATGTAAAAACACAAACAAGATAACTCTTTCTTAAATTTTCAACCATCAATTTTTTATTCACCCAGCCTAAAAGTCCTGATTATCAGTTCTGGGTCCCTGGCAATGACTGTTGGGTACAAACTGCAAAGCTTTGTTCGTCAGGTAGGGCTGGGCTTTTCATTGACCATGGGTTGGAATAGTTCTGTGGGCATAGTGTGTCTTCGAAGCCACTATGTTTTCTGCACTTGTGACTAGAGAGCACCTTGATAGCTCAGTTGGTAGAGCGGTGGACTGTAAGATGCTCCTTGTGTGAAACGCTGTGATCCTAAGGTCACTGGTTCAACTCCAGACGGAAGCACCTCCTTGTCATTGGAAATACCCCCAATCCTTGTCTTTATCTGTCAACTCCTCCAAATTGTAAAAACACAAACAAGGTAACTCTTTCTTAAATTTTCAACCATCAATTTTTTATTCACCCAGCCTAAAAGTCCTGATTATCAGTTCTGGGTCCCTGGCAATGACTGTTGGGTACAAACTGCAAAGCTTTGTTCTGCAGGTAGGGCTGGGCTTTTCATTGACCATAGTTTGGAATAGTTCTGTGGGCATAGTGTGTCTTCGAAGCCACTATGTTTTCTGCACTTGTGACTAGAGAGCACCTTGATAGCTCAGTTGCTAGAGCGGTGCACTGTAAGATGCTCCTTGTGTGAAACGCTGTGATCCTAAGGTCGCTGGTTCAACTCCAGCCGGAAGCACCTCCTTGTCATTGGAAATACCCCCAAGCCTTGTCTTTATCTGTCAACTCCTCCAAAATGTAAAAACACAAACAAGATAACTCTTTCTTAAATTTTCAACCATCAATTTTTTATTCACCCAGCCTAAAAGTCCTGATTATCAGTTCTGGGTCCCTGGCAATGACTGTTGGGTACAAACTGCAAAGCTTTGTTCGTCAGGTAGTGCTGGGCTTTTCATTGACCATGGGTTGGAATAGTTCTGTGGGCATAGTGTGTCTTCGAAGCCACTATGTTTTCTGCACTTGTGACTAGAGAGCACCTTGATAGCTCAGTTGGCAGAGCGGTGGACTGTAAGATGCTCCTTGTGTGAAACGCTGTGATCCTAAGGTGGCTGGTTCAACTCCAGCCGGAAGCACCTCCTCGTCATTGGAAATACCCCAAAACCTTCTCTTTATCTGTCAACTCCTCCAAAATGTAAAAACCCAAACAAGGTAACTCTTTCTTAAATTTTCAACCATCAATTTTTTATTCACCCAGCCTAAAAGTCCTGATTATCAGTTCTGGGTCCCTGGCAATGACTGTTGGGTACAAACTGCAAAGCTTTGTTCGTCAGGTAGGGCTGGGCTTTTCATTGACCATGGGTTGGAATAGTTCTGTGGGCATAGTGTGTCTTCGAAGCCACTATGTTTTCTGCACTTGTGACTAGAGAGCACCTTGATAGCTCAGTTGGTAGAGCGGTGGACTGTAAGATGCTCCTTGTGTGAAACGCTGTGATCCTAAGGTCGCTGGTTCAACTCCACCTGGAAGCACCTCCTTGTCATTGGAAATACCCCCAAGCCTTGTCTTTATCTGGCAACTCCTCCAAAATGTAAAAACACAAACAAGATAACTCTTTCTTAAATTTTTAACCATCAATTTTTTATTCACCCAGCCTAAAAGTCCTGATTATCAGTTCTGGGTCCCTGGCAATGACTGTTGGGTACAAACTGCAAAGCTTTGTTCTGCAGGTAGGGCTGGGCTTTTCATTGACCATGGGTTGGAATAGTTCTGTGGGCATAGTGTGTCTCCGAAGCCACTATGTTTTCTGCACTTGTGACTAGAGAGCACCTTGATAGCTCAGTTGGTCGAGCATTGGACTGTAAGATGCTCCTTGTGTGAAACGCTGTGATCCTAAGGTCGCTGGTTGAACTCCAGCCGGAAGCACCTCTTTGTCATTGGAAATACCCCCAAGCCTTGTCTTTATCTGTAAACTTCTCCAAAATGTAAAAACACAAACAAGATAACTCTTTCTTAAATTTTCAACCATCATTTTTTTATTCACCCAGCCTAAAAGTCCTGATTATCAGTTCTGGGTCCCTGGCAATGACTGTTGGGTACAAACTGCAAAGCTTTGTTCTGCAGGTAGGGCTGGGCTTTTCATTGACCATGGGTTGGAATAGTTCTGTGGGCATAGTGTGTCTTCGAAGCCACTATGTTTTCTGCACTTGTGACTAGAGAGCACCTTGATAGCTCAGTTGGTAGAGCGGTGAACTGTAAGATGCTCCTTGTGTGAAACGCTGTGATCCTAAGGTCGCTGGTTCAACTCCAGCCGGAAGCACCTCCTTGTCATTGGAAATACCCCCACGCCTTGTCTTTATCTGGCAACTCCTCCAAAATGTAAAAACACAAACAAGATAACTCTTTCTTAAATTTTCAACCATCAATTTTTTATTCACCCAGCCTAAAAGTCCTGATTATCAGTTCTGGGTCCCTGGCAATGACTGTTGGGTACAAACTGCAAAGCTTTGTTCTGCAGGTAGGGCTGGGCTTTTCATTGACCATGGGTTGGAATAGTTCTGTGGGCATAGTGTGTCTTCGAAGCCACTATGTTTTCTGCACTTGTGACTAGAGAGCACCTTGATAGCTCAGTTGGCAGAGCCTGGGACTGTAAGATGCTCCTTGTGTGAAACGCTGTGATCCTAAGGTCGCTGGTTCAACTCCAGCCGGAAGCACCTCCTTGTCATTGGAAATACCCCCAAGCCTTGTCTTTATCTGTCAACTCCTCCAAAATGTAAAAACACAAACAAGATAACTCTTTCTTAAATTTTCAACCATCAATTTTTTATTCACCCAGCCTAAAAGTCCTGATTATCAGTTCTGGGTCCCTGGCAATGACTGTTGGGTACAAACTGCAAAGCTTTGTTCTGCTGGTAGGGCTGGGCTTTTCATTGACCATGGGTTGGAATAGTTCTGTGGGCATAGTGTGCCTTCGAAGCCACTATGTTTTCCGCACTTGTGACTAGAGAGCACCTTGATAGCTCAGTTTGTAGAGCAGTGGACTGTAAGATGCTCCTTGTGTGAAACGCTGTGATACTAAGGTCGCTGGTTCAACTCCAGCCGGAAGCACCTCCTTGTCATTGGAAATACCCCCAAGCCTTGTCTTTATCTGTCAACTCCTCCAAAATGTAAAAACACAAACAAGATAACTCTTTCTTAAATTTTTAACCATCAATTTTTTATTCACCCAGCCTAAAAGTCCTGATTATCAGTTCTGGGTCCCTGGCAATGACTGTTGGGTACAAACTGCAAAGCTTTGTTGTGCAGGTAGGGCTGGGCTTTTCATTGACCATGGGTTGGAATAGTTCTGTGGGCATAGTTTGTCTCCGAAGCCACTATGTTTTCTGCACTTGTGACTAGAGAGCACCTTGATAGCTCAGTTGGTCGAGCAGTGGACTGTAAGATGCTCCTTGTGTGAAACGCTGTGATCCTAAGGTCGCTGGTTCAACTCCAGCCAGAAGCACCTCCTTGTCATTGGAAATACCCCCAAGCCTTGTCTTTATCTGTCAACTCCTCCAAAATGTAAAAACACAAACAAGATAACTCTTTCTTAAATTTTCAACCATCAATTTTTTATTCACCCAGCCTAAAAGTCCTGATTATCAGTTCTGGGTCCCTGGCAATGACTGTTGGGTACAAACTGCAAAGCTTTGTTCTGCTGGTAGGGCTGGGCTTTTCATTGACCATGGGTTGGAATAGTTCTGTGGGCATAGTGTGCCTTCGAAGCCACTATGTTTTCCGCACTTGTGACTAGAGAGCACCTTGATAGCTCAGTTTGTAGAGCGGTGGACTGTAAGATGCTCCTTGTGTGAAACGCTTTGATCCTAAGGTCGCTGGTTCAACTCCAGCCGGAAGCACCTCCTTGTCATTGGAAATACCCCCAAGCCTTGTCTTTATCTGTCAACTCCTCCAAAATGTAAAAACACAAACAAGATAACTCTTTCTTAAATTTTTAACCATCAATTTTTTATTCACCCAGCCTAAAAGTCCTGATTATCAGTTCTGGGTCCCTGGCAATGACTGTTGGGTACAAACTGCAAAGCTTTGTTGTGCAGGTAGGGCTGGGCTTTTCATTGACCATGGGTTGGAATAGTTCTGTGGGCATAGTTTGTCTCCGAAGCCACTATGTTTTCTGCACTTGTGACTAGAGAGCACCTTGATAGCTCAGTTGGCCGAGCAGTGGTCTGTAAGATGCTCCTTGTGTGAAACGCTGTGATCCTAAGGTCGCTGGTTCAACTCCAGCCGGAAGCACCTCTTTGTCATTGGAAATACCCCCAAGCCTTGTCTTTATCTGGAAACTCCTCCAAAATGTAAAAACACAAACAAGATAACTCTTTCTTAAATTTTCAACCATCATTTTTTTATTCACCCAGCCTAAAAGTCCTGATTATCAGTTCTGGGTCCCTGGCAATGACTGTTGGGTACAAACTGCAAAGCTTTGTTCTGCAGGTAGGGCTGGGCTTTTCATTGACCATGGGTTGGAATAGTTCTGTGGGCATAGTGTGTCTTAGAAGCCACTATGTTTTCTGCACTTGTGACTAGAGAGCACCTTGATAGCTCAGTTGGCAGAGCGGTGGACTGTAAGATGCTCCTTGTGTGAAACGCTGTGATCGTAAGGTCGCTGGTTCAACTCCAGCCGGAAGCACCTCCTTGTCATTGGAAATACCCACAAGCCTTGTCTTTATCTGTCAACTCCTCCAAAATGTAAAAACACAAACAAGATAACTCTTTCTTAAATTTTCAACCATCAATTTTTTATTCACCCAGCCTAAAAGTCCTGATTATCAGTTCTGGGTCCCTGGCAATGACTGTTGGGTACAAACTGCAAAGCTTTGTTCTGCAGGTAGGGCTGGGCTTTTCATTGACCATGGTTTGGAATAGTTCTGTGGGCATAGTGTGTCTTCGAAGCCACTATGTTTTCTGCAGTTGTGACTAGAGAGCACCTTGATAGCTCAGTTGGTAGAGCGGTGGACTGTAAGATGCTCCTTGTGTGAAACGCTGTGATCCTAAGGTCGCTGGTTCAACTCCAGCCAGAAGCACCTCCTTGTCATTGGAAATACCCCCAAGCCTTGTCTTCATCTGTAAACCTCTCCAAAATGTAAAAACACAAACAAGATAACTCTTTCTTAAATTTTCAACCATCATTTTTTTATTCACCCAGCCTAAAAGTCCTGATTATCAGTTCTGGGTCCCTGGCAATGACTGTTGGGTACAAACTGCAAAGCTTTGTTCTGCAGGTAGGGCTGGGCTTTTCATTGACCATGGGTTGGAATAGTTCTGTGGGCATAGTGTGTCTTCGAAGCCACTATGTTTTCTGCACTTGTGAGTAGAGAGCACCTTGATAGCTCAGTTGGTAGAGCGGTGAACTGTAAGATGCTCCTTGTGTGAAACGCTGTGATCCTAAGGTCGCTGGTTCAACTCCAGCCGGAAGCACCTCCTTGTCATTGGAAATACCCCCACGCCTTGTCTTTATCTGTCAACTCCTCCAAAATGTAAAAACACAAACAAGATAACTCTTTCTTAAATTTTCAACCATCAATTTTTTATTCACCCAGCCTAAAAGTCCTGATTATCAGTTCTGGGTCCCTGGCAATGACTGTTGGGTACAAACTGCAAAGCTTTGTTGTGCAGGTAGGGCTGGGCTTTTCATTGACCATGGGTTGGAATAGTTCTGTGGGCATAGTGTGTCTTCGAAGCCACTATGTTTTCTGCACTTGTGACTAGAGAGCACCTTGATAGCTCAGTTGGCAGAGCGGTGGACTGTAAGATGCTCCTTGTGTGAAACGCTGTGATCCTAAGGTCGCTGGTTCAATTCCAACCGCAAGCACCTCCTTGTCATTGGAAATACCCCCAAGCCTTGTCTTTATCTGTCAACTCCTCCAAAATGTAAAAACACAAACAAGATAACTCTTTCTTAAATTTTCAACCATCAATTTTTTATTCACCCAGCCTAAAAGTCCTGATTATCAGTTCTGGGTCCCTGGCAATGACTGTTGGGTACAAACTGCAAAGCTTTGTTCGTCAGGTAGGGCTGGGCTTTTCATTGACCATGGGTTGGAATAGTTCTGTGGGCATAGTGTGCCTTCGAAGCCACTATGTTTTCCGCACTTGTGACTAGAGAGCACCTTGATAGCTCAGTTTGTAGAGCGGTGGACTGTAAGATGCTCCTTGTGTGAAACGCTTTGATCCTAAGGTCACTGGTTCAACTCCAGCCGGAAGCACCTCCTTGTCATTGGAAATACCCCCAAGCCTTCTCTTTATCTGTCAACTCCTCCAAAATGTAAAAACACAAACAAGATAACTCATTCTTAAATTTTTAACCATCAATTTTTTATTCACCCAGCCTAAAAGTCCTGATTATCAGTTCTGGGTCCCTGGCAATGACTGTTGGGTACAAACTGCAAAGCTTTGTTGTGCAGGTAGGGCTGGGCTTTTCATTGACCATGGGTTGGAATAGTTCTGTGGGCATAGTGTGTCTTAGAAGCCACTATGTTTTCTGCACTTGTGACTAGAGAGCACCTTGATAGCTCAGTTGGCAGAGCGGTGGACTGTAAGATGCTGCTTGTGTGAAACGCTTTGATCCTAAGGTTGCTGGTTCAACTCCAGCCGGAAGCACCTCCTTGTCATTGGAAATACCCCCAAGCCTTGTCTTTATCTGTCAACTCCTCCAAAATGTAAAAACACAAACAAGATAACTCTTTCTTAAATTTTCAACCATCAATTTTTTATTCACCCAGCCTAAAAGTCCTGATTATCAGTTCTGGGTCCCTGGCAATGACTGTTGGGTACAAACTGCAAAGCTTTGTTCTGCAGGTAGGGCTGGGCTTTTCATTGACCATGGGTTGGAATAGTTCTGTGGGCATAGTGTGTCTTCGAAGCCACTATGTTTTCTGCACTTGTGACTAGGGAGCACCTTGATAGCTCAGTTGGTAGAGTGGTGCACTGTAAGATGCTCCTTGTGTGAAACGCTGTGATCCTAAGTTGGCTGGTTCAACTCCAGCCGGAAGCACCTCCTTGTCATTGGAAATACCCCCAAGCCTTGTCTTTATCTGTCAACTCCTCCAAAATGTAAAAACACAAACAAGATAACTCTTTCTTAAATTTTCAACCATCAATTTTTTATTCACCCAGCCTAAAAGTCCTGATTATCAGTTCTGGGTCCCTGGCAATGACTGTTGGGTACAAACTGCAAAGCTTTGTTCTGCAGGTAGGGCTGGGCTTTTCATTGACCATGGGTTGGAATAGTTCTGTGGGCATAGTGTGTCTTCTAAGACACTATGTTTTCTGCACTTGTGACTTGAGAGCACCTTGATAGCTCAGTTGGCAGAGCGGTGGACTGTAAGATGCTCCTTGTGTCAAACGCTGTGATCCTAAGGTCGCTTGTTCAACTCCAGCTGGAAGCACCTCCTTGTCATTGGAAATACCCCCAAGCCTTGTCTTTATCTGTCAACTCCTCCAAAATGTAAAAACACAAACAAGATAACTCCTCCTTGATTTTCCAACCATCAATTTTTCATTCACCCAGCCTAAAAGTCCTGATTACCAGTTCTGGGTCCCTGGCAATTACTGTTGGGTACAAACTGTGAAGCTCTGTTCTGAAGGTAGGGCTGGGCTTTTCATTGACCATGTGGGTGGATTAGTTTTGTGGGCAAGGTGTGTCGTCTCAGCCACTATGTTTTCTGTAGTTGTCAGTATGGCTCACCTTCATAGCTCAGTTGGTAGAGCGGAGGACTATATGGAAGCTCCTCATATGAAATTGCTCTGATGCAAAGGTCGCTGGTTCAAATCCAGCTCGAAGCATGTGCATTTCATTCGTCTGAGCAACGTTCAAGTTCTACTTATGTCGAAATAATGCCAAGCCTTGTCCTCATTTGTGTACTCCTCCAAAATTTAAAAACACAAACAAGATAACTCCTCCTTGATTTTCCAACCATCAATTTTTTATTCACCCAGCCTAAAAGTCCTGATTACCAGCTCTTGGTCCTTTGCAATGACTGTTGGGAACAATCTGTGAAGCTCTGTTCTGAAGGTAGGGCTGGGCTTTTCATTGACCATGTGGGTGGAATAGTTGTGTAGACAAAGTGTGTCATCTCAGCCACTATGTTTTCTGCAGTTGTGAGTAGACAGCACCTTTATAGCTCAGTTGGTAGAGTGGAGGACTATATGGAAGTTCCTTATATAAAATGCTGTGATGTGAAGGTCGCTGGTTCAACTCCAGCTAGAAGCATGTGCCTTTCATTGGTGTGACCAATGTTCAATTTCTAATTAATTTGAAATAATACCAAGCCTTGTCTTCATTTGTGTACTCCTCCAAAATTTAAAAACACAAACAAGATAACTCCTCCTTTATTTTCCAACTATCAATTTTTCATTCACCCAGCCTAAAAGTCCTGATTACCAGTTCTGGGTCCTTGGCAATGACTGTTGGGTACAAACTGTGAAGCTCTGTCCTGAAGGTAGGACTGGGCTTTTGATTGGCCATATCAATCAAAACCCCATCCTAAAAGTCCTGATTACCAGTTCTGGGTCCCTGGTATTGACTGTTGGGTACAAACTTCAAAGCTTTGTTCTGCAGGTAGGGCTGGGCTTTTGATTGACCATGGGGTCGAATAGTTGTGTGGGCATAGTGTGTTGTGTCAGCCACTGTGTTTTCTGCAGAGCACCCTTCAATACCTCAGTTGGTAGAGCGGAGGACTGTAGGATGTTCCCGATAGAAATTGCTGTGATCCTTAGGTCGCTGGTTCAACTCCGTCTCGAAGCATGTTCCTTTCATCAGTGTGAGCAATGTTCTGGATCTAATAAAATCGAAATAATGCTTAGCCTTGTCTTTATCTATCAACTCCGTCACTTAAAATGTACAAACACAAATCAGATAACTCCTAATTTCCATGTAATTAATTTCTTTGCTGGAGGAGGTGGGGTTTATGTTCTGTACTGCGACCAGTCACCAGGGGGTGCTGTTTTCACAGAGGCTTCACCCAAGCAAGGAGGCAGAAAAGGTCTAAACAGTCTATGATCTGGCACCATCTGGGAATTACCAGGTTGTAATCAAAACCTCAGGAGAAAAATTATAGAAGTAAAAAGAGTTAATGGTATGCTGTAAAGTTTTCTGTTTCCTCCTTTTGACATATAACCATTTACTTCATGATAGCTAGCTTTTCTATGGTTTTGGTAAGTAACGTATTCAGGGGACATCCCAGGAGTCAGGAGCATATCAACGCCTCACACATTAGAGGACATTTTGTCAATAAATCTGTTCTTGTTTCTAGACTAGGAAAAGGACAACGGTCTGGCTAACAGACTCTACTGTGCTATGTGAATGTTAACATACTGAATGAGGTGGCATGTGCAATGTATGGTTCAACATAGAAAACAGTTTCCTTAAATGTAAGGTATGATTGGCACTGCACTCAAATCAACATTTTGTATCATCACCAAATCATTTTGGATTTCACATTATTTAAAAAAACAAAACGTACACCCAGTTATCTCTGGACTAAAGACAGGAGAAAACTTTGGTCGTATAATGTTCTGTATTTTCATAAGTGTTTCAAAGTTAAAGTAGCTCATTTATGTGTATTGCATACAAAATCTTGTTTACTAAGAACCTAAATGCCATGGAAGAAACTTGGGAGTAAATATGTTTTAGCTCTTTGCCTCAGGCCTACCTTGGAGCAGTTGTGCTGTGTATCATAAATGAGCAGTGAGAAAAAAAAAAATCCTCACCGCAGGTGGTTTACAGGTTCATGTTGGGGGGAAAAAAGGACTCAAAAGCCCTACCTCAAAGACACATGAGGCTGAGAAATTTCTCTGAGTACAAACACAGCTCTAAGATGCTTTGAGAAATTCCCAACCTGACACTTTTTTGCTCCAACAAACACAGACGGTGTCTCTCTGGGTCTGAAGCTGTCCCCTGCGACATGGGTGTATACCTTTCACGACGGCATACATGCCCAACCCTACCTAGCATCTTGGTCCCTCTGAAAATCCAGAATCCAGCCCAGTAATCCCCAAACTACAGATAAATCCTCTCTTCTTGGCAAAACCAGTAAATCCTCACAAAACCCCTTCAGTCTCAACCTTCCAAAGATTGTGCCACAGACAGCAGCGAAGGAAGAGAGGGGTGAACATATCACCATTCAAACACACAAACTTATTTTATGAGATTAATGGTTGTAAAGGTATTGATCATCAGAATTCGAAAATGAATTGTTTGAAAATGTTTATACCTTCCTTCAAATTGAATTATTGATACAGACATTTTGGCTCTCAAAGGTTTGGACAGACACTATAACCTTTTTCTTGATATTCAGGTAAAAATTATTTCATTGGACAATTATTCATGAATGGTGACGCTAACATAGACACTGAAACAGGAGTGATATAATCGTATTTCTGGTTCGAGGGAGCTGAGTTCTGTACTGCCTGGAACAAATTTTTTTTTTCCTGAAGTAACCAACAGGTGATGAGATAAAAGCATTTTAAATCACCTCAGTGTTTTTAAGAAGAACTCAAATTAAAACTTTAAAACTTAAATACACATCCTTCACCCTCTATTGATTTGGGAAACAACCAAACACAACTAAACATAAAGAAAAGTACCTCAGTTTAATAGCACAGTTTCAGTGGACTAAATCAGCCTCTACTTTGTGGTGGGACAGACGCACACCTGATTTCATCATTACTAAACCCAAAGAGCAGACAAGCAACATGGGTCAAATGTGACTGCAGACCCAAGGGACCGTCTTTGTAGACTGGGAGTTTAGTCATTCTTTTTATAAGGTGAGTGGACAAGCTGCACCTGGTGCTCACTAGCAGTTGCTCAATATGACTTAAGGTGGGCTGAATTTAAAGGAGGACCAGCTTACTCTGCAACATTTGCTCAACCAAATCAATTAGACAAACATGAATATATAACTGTGGTAACCAGACTGGTTTGAACCGGCAAGCAGCAATCTTCTTCCTTATGAGATGTCCTGCTCTCTTTATGTCCAGCTGGTGCAGTAGGGAGATAATTTGAGGATCCACATCTGAGCAGGGGTCATTCTGTAGGACATCATCACCGTTGAGACTGAAGTTGTGCAAAAATGTGCAGCAAGCCATTATGTCAGGTGCAAAATGGGGGTGAACCTCTAGAGGTTTGGGTTGTGTGGCTCTTAAACGTCTTACATCACTCTAAAAGCTTGTTTCACGCCTGACTGTGCCCTGAAGTGATGCAAATTGTACCTTTGTATTTTACAGAGTATGCTCGTAGGAAATAATAATCTACCATCTCCAAGGAGGTAATAGTCAGTCAGGAGATACAGGGCTAAGGATAGTATACAGCGCCATTAGGCTGAGGGCTTTTGTCAGGTGCTGAGCCTGGATAACCCCACAAACACATCAATGAATCTGCTCCTAATATTACAGACTGTTTGCATTTGTATCGGCAGCAGAAGCTTACCCCCAATTTCAACCGCACCTGGAACAGCTACGAAAAGGCCGTACGCTCCGATCGTAGCTGATCGCAACCATTCGAGTTAATGTGTCTATTTCCACTGGCTTCTTCCGTTCTGCTGCGGATCAGTGGACTCCACAGCTGATCGCAAGAGTCCTATTTTTTAGTTTTATTGATAACTGAAGGGTTTTTCATTGTTGTTCTAGCAGGCAATGTGCAAGAACTTGGTGGTCCTCTAAAAGCCTCCCCAGGTAAAAACACAAATTTCCCAAAAATATATACATACAAGTATTTCTTTTTGGTGAAGATACCAATATTAAAAAAGAGCAGCTTACTGCTTATTCATAGTGTTGCTGGGCAACCACCTCGTCATCTGTCCTTGGCTAATATGTCTTTTCTAATCAGGACCTCATGCAACTACTGACACCTGTAAGTCTTTTGTAATTCATCTCATAGAATCCTTTCTTCCTCCCACAGTAACATTTTCTTTCCTGAAACGGATAATGAACTGACCTCATAAAAGTCCACCTTTTGTGTTTTTAAAAGGTTTGAGGAGGATGGAACAGTTTAGATATTGTGATTAACCTGAATGTGAAGCACACTCCAAGAAAAAAGTCAGAGGGATAAAGGGAGGAGCACAGCTATATTTTAACATATTTTGTTTTGAATTTAGTGCCCACACCTTGATAGACCACAGATGCTCTTTTAATTCTCCTCCTCCTCCTCTTTCTCTCCAGTCTCTAGCTGCAGGAAATTAGAATGGATGAAAACACTCTTATTCTGGCCAAGCAACAGGAAATAAGAGGCTGTGTGCCCACACCTTACGTCAACATCCTGATCCAAACAGCTGTGTTCAAGCAGAGGGGAGGTGGACTTTTTGTTTAGAAGAATGGTGTTTTATATTCAGACATGGTAAGAAGTGATAGAACTCTTTCTCAGATAAAATGTTTTAATGATGCAAGATCCTTTACTTCATCGATCTTCATCTAAAGGGCTCAAATATACTTATATACATGGGCGGTTTGTCCTTAAGGGCGATGGGGTGACGCACTACCATCGGGGGGAAAAAGGGTTTTTTATTTGTATTTTTAAAATTGTTTCTATCATATTCTTCCACAGTGTTGGGGGTGGGACAGTGCTGGACAGTTTCAGCTGCTATATATGTTACTGTCCAATCAGCGTAAGGCATTACTCCATGAGGAACCACACCTTATGGGCAATTTTGGTCAGGCTTAAAATCGTCCCAAGTGCTCCCATTGACTCTAATGTAAAATTGTTTATGTCTAGTGTTACAATCCAATCTCTATGGCTTCCGGGAGGGCTTGCCCCAACGGGCTTTCGTCATACGTGATGTAAGGATAGCTGCGTAGCCACTGCGTGCCAGTCCCTTTCAAGGTTAGCATGGCAAGTGTGTGAAGCTCTATCATTTCCTGAAAAGAAATCCCCTTCAGTCATTGTAGCAATGAAGATAAATTGGCAACCAAACAATCGGGACCCATCCCAGACCAAATTTAAATATCAATCAGATTTCAACTAATGGAGGGAAATCATATAACTGGGGACTTTCGCAGAGTTGGTATGAGTGGAAAACCTAGCTAGCAGGATGTGAAACGGCTAATGCTTTATTCTGCTACCCCTGCACACGGTTTCACCCTGATGTCAGCACAGCAAACACCACAGTGTGGACAACAATGGGAGTCTGCACCATTTGTGGGAAAAGTTCAAGAAACACAAGTCTTCTAAAACCCGAATGGACAGATACCTCTCTCCATGTTCAAAGGTAAACTGCTTACCTGCTTACTAGTGTGTGGCAAATGTGGCTCAAGGGAAAATATTTATCTCGCAGTCTAGTTCTTCTGTGTGGTATTGATGTATGAGTTGACCAGGAAAATACTAATTGTGACAGTTCACTTGCTAATTATTAATCAAACCATTGAAAGGGTCACTTAAGTCATCATCATCGCCACAATTGCCCCCCCTGAAAAATTTGTTAGGAGCCACCACTGCTTATATATTAAGTACGGCCCATAAACTGCAGATTAAAACAGATGTTCCGTGACTGTGTTTATGACAAGGTCTAGTGTTGTGCTTCCCAACCTGCAGCCTTTTAAATCTGCAGACACTCGATGGTGAAGACTGATCATTTAGAGCTCCCCCTGATGAGTGGCTGCAATGTGGGTCATAAACCCAGTAAATAATAGATACGACCACAGATGTTGTCTTAGAGGCATTGCCTGTTTTTTTTCTGTGTGTTTGTGAAGCTCCTGCAGTGTTATGTCCAGGATTTATAATGCAGGGAAGAACGCAGAGCGAAAACAAAAAGAGTCACAGAACTTTCCAAAGCCATAAATGTTTGCTTCAAACCAGCACAGGAATCTGTTCTGTTGTGGACTACCAACCTGAGGGGATTTTGACATTTCTGTCAGTTAAATGTGCTGTGTTTGGTTTGTGGAAAAGGACCCGCAGCTACCAGTCAGGTCACTTCTGCGCATGCCTTAGCTCCACCAGCACGGCATGTCAGCATCCATTGAGAAAGTCCTATCTACTCTATATACAGTCTGTGGTAGGGTCTCGTGGACAGGCTTGTGTAGCTGCTGATACTTGGCTTGTATGTTGTCATGATAGCTCTCTCTCTTGCATGTTAAATTGTGTCACCTACTTGTAAAAATAACAGAGCTTTGCAGAGCTTTATAGCAAACAAGGGAAAAAAATGCCACCGCTCACATATATGAGGGCTCAAATGTTTCTCTTCATTTATGTACAGGGGATGAGAATATCAGAGGAACTCTTGAGAGATTGTAAAATGAAGTCTGGGGGAACATGTAACGTTATTATTTCAGTTCCTATCTGCACATAAATAATTCACTAGCAACGCTACAGGCTGGACCGTCCTTGAATGCCCCAGGGGTTCACTTTGGTAGAAACTAACAGCAACAGGTCAAAAAGGGACTGTTCACTGAAATTTACTCCCATATATTTTTTGGATTCATTTAGCTTAATTTGACCAATTTGGAGTTTACTCAGGCAAAAGAAGTTAACCAAATATTAGCAATTATATTCCTTGTTGTCTCTTTTAGAGGTAGTAAGATGTAAAGAAGAAACTTTCCAATGTATGTAATTTAGTCAAACAGAGAGCACAGATTTACAGTATAGTCAGTGCTTATGATAGCGTGCTACGGTAATCACTTAGTCACACATTCAGTCAAATATGTTACTCTGTCAAAGACCCACTCTGATGAAATCATGTTTTTCTTTGTTGTTTTCATGTTCATATGGCATTTTTCTGATGCTACAGGATACATCATGAGAAAACTAAGTGCGAAAATTCATTTCTGAGTATTGCTGCATTCAAATGAACCTCTGGCAGACCCAAAGGGCAGGCTCAGACACAGTGAGACTTCCTACATCACAACCACAAGTTCCGCCCTCTGAGCCAAGCTATGCAGGCCAGACTCGGAGAAGTAGTGAGGAGGATCTCAGGACAAGTGTTTGTGTTAGCGGATTACAATGCTCATACGAAAGCTAATTATGATACTAGCTTTCGTCACGTCTCTAAAGCGTCAGAGAGCTGATATTACCTGCTACTTCTGCTACACCAGCAATGTTAGGCTGCAAGCTAGTGTGAAGAGGAGGCTACAGAGCAGCTTTGTCTCCGCCCATGACTCAGAGATGAATTGCTAATGATCTACTGGAGCTCTGCAGAAGAAAAGCCCTTAAAAAAGGCACAAGTAACGTGATTTTGGCTAAAAACTTTATAATCCCAATTTAAAGACCACTGATGACACTTGAAGTAGTGGTAACTCATAATCCATTAAAAATATGGTTAATTTTGATCACAGTTTATCAATTAATTTAGCTCAAAAGTCACTGATGACAACATTAATGTTGACACCCCTCCAAGGTCTGACAGTTTGCCCTCCTCCCTTCCTGGTGCCAAGGAAGCGGGATCGCAATGATCCAAGTCCTAACCCATCCAAACACATTATGTTAAGATCTGTGTGCTCAAGCTTAAATTATCTGTGATCTGTCTTATAGTTTTGGAGCAGAATTTGGATCCTTCTTCTCTCTGAGGTGAACAACCTCAGCATAGACCTAAGTGATGGCAATTCTGGCAATTTTTTTTGTGATTCATATCATTAGGCTCTGCAATAACTGGCTCTTTTGGATCCTAAACTGCTCTCCATCATGCAGTTTTGGCTGACAGAGGCCAGCTCTTTGAGCAAAGCTGTCTACAACCAACACACACCCCCCACCTTAGTGTAGCTGTTCACCAGTGCTGAAATTTTATAATTATGTACATTAATGTTCAAAAGTTCTTTAAAAAGTAATGTCATTAAATGATTAATGGATCAATGGACCAATGTGCCCAATTCTCAATGTTTGTACAAAAGGACACTGATGATAAACAAATCTGTATATTGGGACAAATAGCAACAATAACAAAAGGAGGAGTACGTTTTAATTATCCATAATTGTTTCCTTCAGCAGAAAAATAGAAGTGAATCTGTTTCAAGAATACCATGTAGCTGAGCCTTTAAGTGTCAAACGGCTCTTTCCTCTAACAGTGATTAAAGGTGTAAAGGGGAAAGATCACAAGTGTGCAAATGTACAACTGAGCTGTCTCACAAATATATATTTTCATCACCTCTGAGTCAATGTCGCCAGCTAACATTTACTGCATTTGCCATTATACTTACCACTGAGTGATTCACAGAGTGAATGCAAACAGCCACAACTTAAAGCTCCATTGCATTAAGCAAAGTGGAAAGAAGTGCTTTGGTTGTTTCCATTTTTAAGTACTTGGAAACTAAAGTAATGTCGTTGTCAGCAGCCACCATTGCTGGTTCCAACTATACTTTAGCTCTTGCTGTACTTTTAACAAGGAGACTCTTAAAAGCAGGTCCATTAGGAGTAAACGTACAAAATGGCAGAGTTTAAGTGACTGAATTTGTTCAGTGCTCTTTAATTGAAGCAGCATCTCCAGCAAACTATTCTCATCTTCTGCCTGCCTTTTGCCTGGTCTGAACTTTTGTGTCCCTCAACTTTTAATGTTTTATATTGAAAACAGTGAGATGTATTTCAGCCTTTGAGATTTTCTTGGGATACCATGAGAAAAATGTGCTTTTTTTGGGATTGAGACAGTTCTAGAAAATGATATAGGCTTTCACTAATTCTCGTATGTTCGCTCTTGGTATGAGAAGCATTCATCATTAATAATGGCCTAGGTGTCATAAAAAGGATTAAGAGATTTCTCAAAAAAAAAAAAAAAAAAACGGGAGCTGAGGGAGGAGAATTAGTAAGGCAGTGCATTAACCTTTTCAGGGATACACAATAATGACGGAAACACCATGACCCCTTTTCAAAGAGAACACAATATGCTGTACTGTGCAACATCCGGCGGTGCTCCACTCAAGGTAACGTAATATACGCTCCTGTTACTGTGGCAACCTGATGGACTGAAGGGAGTTTTCATAGTTTCTCAACAAGTTTGTTTGTTGTAGATGGATGGTTAGAAGATATACAGCAAAACACAACGTGAGCATACTTGTCCCATGTTTATGCATCGAAATAGAGATTTTCTATTGAGGTTTGAGGC